GTTTTTCTTTTTCTTTTTTATTTTTGAGACAGAGACTTGCTCTGTTGTCCAGGTTGGAGTGCAGTGGTGCAGTAACAGCTCACTGAAGCCTTGACCTCGCTGAGTTCAAGTGACCCTCCTACTTCAGCCTCTTGAGTAGCTGTGACTATAGGTGCCTGCCACCATGACAGGCTATTTTTTTAATTTTTGTAGATAAGGGGTCTCACTATACTGCCCAGACTGATCTTGAACTCCAGGACTCAAGCAATCTTCCCACTGTGGTCTCTCAAAGTGTTGGGATCATAGACATGAGCCACTTCCCCTGGCCTTAGGCAGTTTTGGTTCCTTCAGAATTAATGATCTGCATCTGCCATCTGCAAGGCCTGTGGCTCTCCACTGATTTACAGAGGGTTTGCCATTACTGAGTTGACTTGTAGAGAGAAAAACAAACTGCCTTTGTTGAACCGTTTGATTTTTCCTCATATGTTTTCTCTTTTGTGAAAGGCCTTAACCAAAGATCCCTGCTTTGCCTCTGGAATATGCCTGCAGTAATGTTTGTTAAGAAATTTGAGTTTGGGAGTAACTGTTCCTGTGGGGTCGTAGAAGAGCTGGTTGTTATTCTAATAGATTCCCGACCCTTGCTATTGCTTCAAATTAGATTGTTGCAAGTTTAGAAGGTGCAGGTGAAGTTTTCCTTTTAGATTTTGCTGGTACTGACACAAGCACAGACATGCTGCCCATAAGCGATAATCTCCGTCTTCTTCATCCTCTTTCTTCCCCATGAATTTTTAAAACAACCCAAATTACCTCTGATAACTGTCTCTTCTGAGAGTTTTCTCCCTCAATACTTACGTTTTTCAGACTTGGTTCTGGAGAGCGGATTATGTCTTATTTAAGCTGTTAAGTATTTGTGATTCACATAAAAGTATAGTGTTCCTTCCTTCTCTATGGGGGGAATCATGAATAGCACTGAACCCTATATATATACATATATATGTATATACATATGTATATATGTGTGTGTATATATATACACACAGTATGTTTTCTCACATACATACATACTTATAATAATAAAGTTTCGTTTACAAATCAGGCATAAAAAGAAATATTAACTAACAATAAAATAGGGCAATTATATAACAATATACTAAATTTATGTGACTGTAGTCTTTTACTGTCAAAATATCTTATTGTACTGTACTCACCTCTTTTCTGATCATGGTAGACCAAGGATAACTGAAACTTTAGAAAGAGAAACTAGGGATAAGGGAGGACTACCGTACCACTTTATACACCTGTTTTGTGCATCTGTTAATTGGCAGTCTGTATTATCTGAAGTAATTGAAATGAAAACTTTTTAAATAAGTGCCACCATCTGCCTTTGGACTTGCAGATTCTCGATAAATCTCAATAGAAAAAGGAGCAGAAGCATACGTTAATGTCGCTATAGGTTTTCCTGAGATGAGAGATCCTCCTGCACACAAGGGAGGTCTCAATGAGGTCTTTTGGTTCCAGCTCAATATCAATTACACCCCTAGAGGGACCGGTTTCCCTCAGTGGTTTCCTTGTTGACGTTTGCAGCTCAGGATCATGCCTCCTTTTGCCTCCTAGAAACCTGTGGAAATGCTGGACACCTTGCGTAGGGTGTCTGGAGCTGGAAATAGCAAGGGGTAGCCCACATCTTCCTGTCTTCTGTTGTCTCCTATCACTTCACTAAAACTATCAAGCAAAATCAGAGCCAAATGACAAGACGACTGGCTTCAGATTCTAGAAATCAGCCCAGTTTAGTTCACTCTGTGGCTTCATGATGGTTTAAACTCCATGATGGGTTAAACAACTTCACTCAACTGTACCTTCAACAATTATGCCCTAAGTCTGAAGTCTATGACTCAGGCTTCCTGACTTCAGTGTCTGCTCACTTGTTTTTATTATGTTTGTGGTATCCCATGTCTCTTAACCTTAAAATGCCCTTACCTATGAATGTTACATTGCAGATATCCACTCAGTAACCTCTGAAGTATAAAGTCAATGAAGAAAGTGTGCTCTTTTTTCTGATTCTTATTTAAGAGATAGTATAGCTTTGCATTAAGAACACAAAATCTAGAAGCAGACTGCCTGAGTTTTCATCTCAGCAATGTGACCTCGAACAGGCTACTCAGCCTAGAAGTGTCATGATTTGTTTTACAAAACAAGGATGATAATTATCATAGCACCTACCACATAGGTTTTGAGAATCAAGTGAGTTAGTACATAGTACTTGGAACAGTGCCTGATACACAGAAAACTTCATAAGCCTTTTCTTTTTGCTATTATTTAATGTGCTCACATCAAAATGTCCAAAATGATTAAAAAATATTCATTGATGATGATTTACTCTGACTAGTAAGGAGTTGGTGCTCCATCAATGTTTAATGAATTGAGTCTAAAGCAAAAATAAAGATGACAAAAGTGCTGAAATATTTTAATCAAATTTTTCTCTAAATATAAGGTTTTTATTTTACTACACACATTCCAGGATTTGTTTGGCTAAGGGGATTCAGAAGTACGTGGGAGCTTCAATTTATATCAGGCTGCTAATTAATTAACTGCCAAAGAAATTCCATGGGTAATTGGCATGATGTGAAAATCCTAGTGCTTTGTAACTCCCTTTATCTCAGGTAAATCAGTTTTCTTGAACACATTGCAATAGTGTTTACTGAGTTAGGTACTCTCTATGCGTGTGGTTGTCCAATTCTACCAACACTATAAAAAATATATTCTATCATCACCATTTTAGAGAGGAGGACACATGCCCAGAGTCACTCAACCAATAGAATTAGAGTCAATATGAAGGCACAAGTTGCTTCTTGCAAAACACAAGCCTTTCAAGTGCCCATGCTAATCATAGTTAACAATCATTAAAACAACAGCCCAGATTGAAGTGGTGGGAACAAAAAGGCAGAAAAGTGGTGTTTAATGCTTCTTCCACTACTGAGAGGCAAGTCATTCAACTTCTCTAGGACACAGTATCAACAGAAAAAGGACACTAAACCACTTTTCTGAGGCAGACTGAGCCAGTTTTCTTGCAGTCTCTTTCAGGTCTACAGTATTTATTATTTTCACTGATTTCTCTGATTTGCCTGTATATATTTGTTGAGCATCTGTTATGTGCAAGGCACAGTGCTAGAAGCTCCACAAGATGAAAAAAAAATGAAATACGATGTAATTCTTTGCCTCCTTTGAGACTACTGGTGATAGTGACCCATAAAGCTCAGGGAGTCTACCCTCTAGTTGGGGGAGGATGTGGCAAGTCACAGTCACCGTTAACAGGCTGCAGTAGCAGAGGAGAAGTGCAGTCTGTGCCAGTTCAGAGGAGGCAGGAAGCATAATGAGTGGGGAGCATTAGGAAAAGACTTCAAGGTGGAGATGCCATTTAAACTGAGCTTTAAGAGTTAGAGAAGGGACATTCTGGCTGGAAGAGAATAGAGTTGGAGGTAGGGAGTTGGGAAAACATAGTGTCTTCATGAAACAATGGTCTTCCAATTTGGATGAAATGAAGAATACTGGAAGATAAAGCTAATTTGGATTGAGAAGCCAGGTTAAGAAGATTAGGTTACTTATGAAGAAAAAGAAAACGTTTAAGCTTTTTAGCATGGGTGTGAAGGCTTAGAGCTTCACTTTAGGAAGATTAACTCAATTTAGTATGTTGAGTCCTTTTGAGTCTAGGAGCCTGAGAGAATCCTGGTACCATTGATGGAAAACAGGAAGTCCAGAGGAGTTGGTTTGTTTCTCTTACCACCAAATTCAGGTTTCTATGTAATTAATTTGAAGAACTGCAGAAATGTTGGACTGGATTTTAGGAGAAGGAGCAGAAGTGAGGAAACAGAGGAAACAAAGCCAGGTACAGACCTCAGGGATGTACACATGGAGTTAGTTGGCATGAAATAGAAGCCAGTCGGGAAAGAAAGAAGCAATCAGTGGAAACAGTGGAAAAGCAGTTCTGTGTTTGGGGCTAAAGGAGAAAGAACTGAGAAAATCAGTGAAGACCATTGAATTATAAGCTTCTTGAGAGTACAGGTTGATGAGATTGTTGTAAGACAATCCGTTTATTTAAATATTTCCCACGACAGGCATGGTACAGTGTTTCTCACATTCTTGGCACTCAGTGAATGTTGACTGAGATCTGTATTGTGCAATGCCACACAAGGTTTGAGGAGAGGGAAGACTGAAAAGACCGTTTGTCTTTATGATCAAGAGATCTTTGGTTATTGCTCCTGTATTGTGATTTTCCAGCCTTTCTGCTTTAAGAAATATAAAGAACACAGATATTATTCATATCAAAGATGAAGGCATAAACAACATTGCCTCTAGGCCGTGTGTTGTGTTGGACCATGAATGTAAAAGTGTCTGGTTTTGTAATAGTACATATTGTCCCTCAGCACTCTGCTGGTTTGTATGAATATCAGTATGTTTGAGAATGTGTGCAGGAAGGTGGAAGTAACCAAGCTGTCCAACTCTAGAAAAGTCCAGTGTGGTGGGTGCCCACAATGAAATAGTAAGCCACGTCGAAAGCCCTGTACTAGATGGAATACAGTAACACAATTGTATCTTGTAAACATCATGTCCAGTGAAAAGGAGTAAGAAACAGAAATGAGTAAAAAAAATAAGAAATAAGTGAGAAGAGAAATAAGAATAAAAAAACAGAAATCAGAAATAAAAGCTATAGCATAATAACATCTGTGTAAATAATAACAGACTCAAAACAACACTGTATAGCATAACACAAGGACACATACTTAGCCAAAGACATATCCATTAGCATGAATGTCTCCTGGGGGTAGTGAGGGAATAAACATCCAAATCAGGATGATGGAGAAAATCAGACAAAACAAGAGAAAGACCTTGAAAAGATTAATGATGAGGTATGTGATTAATTCATGATTTGAGTAGTCATCAAAAGAAAAAAGGGAATATGTGATGCAGGCGTGTTTTTTCAAATCTCAAACAAAGGTTCATACAATAATGACACGGATACTATATAGGTTTTACATTTATTATGCTCACTGGCAAACAAAAACAGAAACAACATATATTATCTACAGTAAAATTCGTGCATATCATAAGGCCTATTAATTTTTGCTTCAACTATATGGTTCAAAGTGACATCAGGTGTGTTGGGGACAGCAAGAAGGGTGGGGCTATTCATCACAGTAGGAACAGAATAGTGCACATGGTGCCACCCACAGGTTCTTTCAACATGAAGAAGCTTTCCAAGAAGCAGCTTAGGTTAGGTAGACCTCAACTTAATATTTGAGACTATCATCTAAGGCATTATTAATACTTGTGACTATTTTCTAGGGCATCACATATTATGCAATTAGCAAGCAGGAATTTAGTACTGACATTTGCATTCTAGCTTAATAGTTACATTTATTACTTCTTTTCATTAAAAAGGTGTGTTCTAGCAAATTCATTTTCTACCCATTCAAATAATGAGATTATCTCTCATCAAAGTCAAGTCCAATTTGAACATATCTGCAAAGATATCCCTAATACATAGTGATTGGTAGAAAATATGAGTAGAGGATAAAAGATGGTTTACTTTTATATAGCATGCAGGAACCATGATTTCACATGTAGTGAAATCAGATTTCTGCTTCTTCCTCACTCTTTTTAAACTGAAAATTAGAACCAGCAAGTCATGCACCCCCCTATTAGAAGCCTCATTGAAGGTCTGAGGAGCTAAGGCTCAAGATGGTGTGTTTTTGCCTTGACTGCTCTCAACACAGTATTCCATCTGCTATTCCTTTGTTCCATCTGCTCTTTCTTAAACCTGTCTTGAAAAGAACAATGGTTATCTTCATCCTCTGTCTCAGAGATGATCTCCATCTTCTGAATGATCAGTTTAATGAGCTCATGCTGTTTTTCCAGGAGAAAAGTAAGATCCTTCAGCCTAAAAGGACATGCACATTTCATGAATTTATTTTCAGTTATTCTTTTAGCCCTTCTGATTCTAGGAAGGCATAGGTTTTGACCTCGGTAGTCACAATCCTTCCAGGAAACACAATGTTTTTGAAGTTTAAACGGTTTTTCCCAAAGTTACACTGTTAGTTCATGGCTAGTTTATTTTTGTTCCCAGTTTACAGGTAAGAAACTATTATAGAGAAAGGTTAAGCAGCTTGCCCAGTGTCATAGTTATTAAGTACCTGGTTGAATAGGGGTTTGAACTCAGGTACTAACTAACTGTAAAACCCTCATGCTTAACCACTGCCCACCACATAGTTACTCCAGGGATCTTCAAAAGCTTTCAGAGCTTTGCTTTATGAATTCAGATGAAGAATACAGTTTATAATACTACCTCCAAGAGAAAGGAAATCAGCATTTTAATTTTTATTCACTTATTATTGGAAGCCAAACTGATTGGTGAATAGCGGCAAATATGTTGTTGGTTCTAGAGAATGTCTCATGACCCTCAATACACTAGCTACAGCTGTCAATAAAGCATGACAATTATAAAATAAATAAACACCAATATAAAATATAACCTTATATTGTGCATTATTATTTATGAGTTTTAAATTTCTCAAGTACAGATAGAAGGAAAAATACATACCGGTATTTCTGCTTTAATATTTCCATTTCTAAAGATGTATCAGCATTTGGTATTTCTTGTCTTATTTCTCCAGTGCAAAATAAAAAATAGAATATATGCTGCTGGATAAAAAAATAGTAGTTACTCAAATTGAATTCAATTCAGGAACTTTTTCTTAAGCATGTGCCAAAATTCAACCACCACTGATACAAATATGCATAAGGCATAGCTATGCCCTCAAGGAACCCACAATCTGCCAGGAGAAAGAGACATGTGAAGAAACAGCTGTGAAAGGAAGTCATACATATAGTCAGAGAGAAATAAAACATGTACAGATAAAACAGAAGAGCAGTAAATCAGGGTAGAAAATTGTTTAGAAAGGGGCTTAGCTGAATTGTTCTGTACATTTTCATGAGAAATGCCCATCATGGAAGGTGGTATTCTATATGAGATTCATCGCTACTTTCTAAAACTGCACTGCACATTATCCAATACAACTCAACCAATCAACAAAGTTTCACCTGGAGAAATTTCCGAAATGTTATTTTAATACATTTCATTTTAATTTAATATCTTTTAAACCACAGTTGACTGGAGAGGGTCAAAGGGCAGATGTGAAACGATCAAGAATGAGGTAATTCTAGGCTTCCAGGCGAGAGAAAATGGTGACTTGCACAGGACACCCAGGAAGTCAAATGGACCAGACTGAGGGGAGAAGGAGAGGGAGGTGACTCCTGGGTGGCTGGCTCGCACAGGCTAACGAATGGTGCTGACATTGTTGCAAGGAGGAACCAGGACTTTTTCACTTCTTTTCCTGTAGGGGATATGTGAGGAGAGGGTGAAACGTGAAAGCATTGAAGTCTGGTTTTGAACCTGCTGAATGTGAGGCACCTTTAAAACATGCAAGTGGAGATGTCAAATAGGCAGCTGGGTGTAGGGGCTGGGAACTGAAGGGTGAGCTCTAGGATTGAGAAATCAGTTGCTGAGCATTCTGTTTCGGTAGTAATTGTAACCATGGACATGTGTAAAATCAGTTGGAGAGATACTGTGGGGTTAGAATAAAGCCTAGACTGATACTCAGGACCACTTTATCACCTTATGACTACACAGGGGAAATTAACCTGAAAAGAACTCAGCAAGAACAGGTGTAGAGATGAAGGGAGCCCAGGCATACTAAGGATTCGCACCCAGTTATTCTGGCTCTTCATATGGCCCTTCTTCCATTATAATGCAATGGTCTTGCTTAGTCTTTGATCACTTAATTAGCTCATTTTCTATAGTGTACACTATGTGTGTGTGTTCGTGTGTGTGTGTGATATGGTTAGGCTTTGTGTCCCCACCCAAATCTCATCTTGCATTACAATCCCCATAATCCCCACGTGTCAAGGGAGAGACTGGGTGGAGGTAACTGGATCATGGGAGTGGTTTCCCTCCTGCTGTTCTCGTGATAGTGAGTGAGTTCTCACAAGATCTGGTGGTTTTATAATTGTCTGGTAGTTCCTCATGTGTTCGTTCTCCTTCCTGCTGCCTGTGAAGAAGGTGCCTTGCTTCCCCTTCACCTTCCGCCATGATTGCAAGTTTCCTGAGGTCTCCCCAGCCAAGCGGAAGTGTGAGTCAATTAAACCTCTTTCCTTTATAAGCTACCCAGTCTCAGGGAGTTCCTTATAGCAGTGTGAAAACGGATTAATACATTGTGTGTGTGTGTGTGTGTGTGTGTGTGTGTGAATGTGTGTTCTTTATTGTGTATTCTAAACACTTGGCTGTATATACACACATATATATCTACACATAAATGTAAATGACATGTGACTGGGAAAAGCAAATAAAGTATATCTGTACTGTAAAAAAGACACTAAAAGGGTATGGCTGGTCCCTGGCTCATCTGCTCTAACAGGGACAGCATGCATTTAACACAGATGCCATGGATGAGCCACCTGAAAGGGGAGAGCAAATATCACCCTCCTCTCACCCAGCTCTTTCACATCTTGGGTTAATCATATCCTTTTTTTTAAAGCACAACTTCTCTGCCCACAGGCAGAGAAGACTCAAAGTCTATAAAAGGGCCCCCTTAGGGTTAACACAATGAATGAATGTCAAACAGTGTCATGTTATTGATGTTGTTATTTTTTATGTGTACTTACGAATAATAGCCCACCACATCTGGGTTTGTTGGGATACACGATGATGGATTTCTGATCCACTTTGCGTAGAAACCAAAGTGGCAGCTTCTTCTCTAAGCTGGTATGAAGTTCCACCTAAAGTGCATTTTGGGTTTAATGATAGAATCACTAGTTAGTATCTGGAATTTTTATATGGCACAGAGGCAATCATTAATACAGCAAAATGAAAACTGATTTCTATGTCCTGACTTCTGTGCCACAGCTGGGCTGGCCAGGCTTCCTTATCCCCTAGCTCACAGTCACCTGCCCCTTCCTCTTACCTCACCACTGACAGGGCAGCAATCTGCCTTGGAGCAGGAAAAGAAAGAGAGGAAGAAGTTGCTTTAAAAAGGAATTCAATATTTAGTCACTTGCTCTTTATTGTTCAGGGATAGTCACCTGATGTTTTATTGTTCAATGCTGGAGATTTAAAGAAGAAAAGGGTAGTTCATACTCTTGGGGTGTTGCAATACTACAAAATGTGCACAACTGGACAGTGTGAATGTGTGTGTGCATATGTATACACACCTAGGGCAGGAGAGAAGGAGTGCTTAACTGGAGGAAGACAAAGGTAAGCAGTAAAAGAATTAGAACTCTCAGGCCTAAGAGTATGTCATGCATTTTTCATGTCTGTGCTATCAGGTGCAAAATGGTTTATCTATGATGAATTTTAAGTATAATTACTATTTGCAGGGATAGCAAATGAGATATTTCCCCACACTTAATTTTTTTCATTTATTTTTGCCAAATTCATCTCTGCTTTTTTATACCCCTTTGTATCTGGTAAATAGGTATGTTTACTGTAACTACTAGTGAGATTTGCTTTCTAACACCAAACACCTTCCAATATTAGCGATTTATAGCCATAAACAGTAAAATGGTAAGAACTTCCCTGACACCACTGCTTAAAATTGTGGCTCCCCACTGTCCCCCACATGACTTTCCCCCATGTGGCTTCCTTGCTATTTTTACAGCACTTACCACCATTTAACATACTGTGCATTAGTTCCAGCTTCAAGAAAAGCTATGTTTTCTTGTATTTTATTAATAATACCAGTTAAATATTTTCACTGATTTTCTATAATAATTTCTAGGGTTCCTTTTTTTCCCCTTTGCTCTTTAGGGTGATCCTACTTTCCCCTTCCCATACATACAGTTTTAGAAGTCACGTCTTATTTCCTCACACTTGATTGAAAAAGATTTACTCAAGCTTGATGTTTGCCAACAGATAAAATACATAGTGTGTCTTAACCTGTTCATTATCTACATAGGTCTCTCAAAGATGGTCCTGGGGGAGGCTGGCAAGCAAAGCCCCAAGTCCAGTATGGGTCTGGCGGGACCCACTGAGCCTGGCTCCGCTGGGCTCAGGGAGCATCTTTACCTCCTCTAACTGGTGGCTTTTCCATGCTGAAGGGTAAGATGCACTCTGTGGATTTCCCTTTCTAATTTGCAGCAGGGATATAAATGTTTATGGACTGTCTGCAGCTGCCAAAACTGTGGTGGAAAGTGGAGATACCAACATTTAAAAACACCCAAACAGTTTCAAGTCCCTCAAAATACTCATCACACCTATCCCTAAGGAACTGACAGTCCCCATATAGAACACATCTCCCAGCATGCGTTGTCCCAAGGCCTGTCTCCACTTCCCATGGAGATGATTCTCTGAGAGAACTAAATGGCCCTGTTGGAAATGTGTGCTACTTGTCTGGTTCTGCTCATGGTTCTGCTGTGGGCTCAGACATAGGTTTCAGAATGGATGCAGAGAGTTTCTTAAGAAACCACTCAGGAGAAGTAGGAGAATGGCTTTCTGGTTTTCCAGTCGATGCTGTTTTTGATCCAAAACAAGGCATAGATAACATGGGGGTACTAGGATTTGTGCCATTTACTTTCAGAGAGCAGAGTAAACAATATAGGTTTGTGCTTTTCAGCTCAACCCCACTGACATTGTAATTGAGTGAGCTTCCCCAACTTTGCTTGTATTATTGTTTTTATCTATTCCCCAAGGTATTTTAAAGAGCTGTTAGGGCAGTTATGAGGTATTGCTGACATACCTGCCAAGAGGTTTATACATCTTCTCTCCATATCCATACACCTGAAGTCCTAAACACCATCTTTGTGACAGTAATAACCTGCCATTAGCTCTTCCTGCCTTCAATCTTTCCTCACTAAACCAAAATAATAACAGATCACTATAAACACCATTTTCATTGTGGAAGGGCTGAGAATAACTCTTCGCTAACTTACAAAATAACCTGAAGCACTTCATCATTTAGTGCCCTTTGCTAAGGTTTTTCTTTGCTGGTTTTGAATAAACCCCCCTATCATCTGGAGCAATCTAATCACCCACTAACATGAATGACCCTTCCAGGCAAGGGGGCCTTGGGCCAGTGCCTTGGCTGTTTTCCCCAGTTCTGATGTGGCCCTTTGCTCTTGCTGGCACCTCCTTTCAGGACGGTATCGATGTCCTGTTAAATCTCAACTATCTTTCAACACTGACTCATCTCACCCCCTCCATGCAGCATTCCCTTCATTATTTTTGCATTTTTTTCTGTACCTGATAATCATTTGTGTTTGTTCTCTAAATGTTCCAATCACTCTGTATCTCTGTATAATATACAGCTATGTCATAGAGCATAGAATTTACAAATGGTTCTCAGTTGATTTTTGATATTTAATTCTACGAATGCCTAGCTGGTGTGCTAAGTAGAATAGTCAGGGATCACATCCCTCCGTTTCCCCTGTACTGGACTTTGTATACACTATGTATTGAAACATTGTTTTTCAATAAATAAATATTAGTGTATGGCTGAATGAATAACAGAGAAGAAAGAATTTGGACAAATAAAAGTGAAGAGGAGACAAGAGTGAATAGAAAGTTATATCATTACATGACTTTTCTATCTCCTCTCTCAAACTGGCCAAAGTTTCTGAATGCATATAGTCAACTGGTCAACAAATATCCTTGAAGCATCAAAAATGGCCATTTGAATTTGAAATTTAAAGACAATCCAGTCAAGAGCATAAAAATAACTTTGTGTTGTATGACAGAAAGGTACCTCACAAGGTTCAGTAGCCAAATACCTAGCCAGGAAACTTTGACACCAAATTTTACATCAAATTGTCTATAAAAATGAGAGAGATGTCACAAGAGAACAAAACCTCATGGATGCAATTAAAATGTCAACATAAATTATGCTGTGGGTACCCTGTGATTCCCTGCATAAAATATAAGGAGCGCCTTCGAACAGTGGGGCTAGGATGCCAGTGATTCTCTTGATCCAGCAGCTAGCTACCTGGGTGGCCACATTTTAACATGGGTGGCCACATTTTAACATAACACAAGATGCTCAGGCAATTTCTCAATTTCTCTGCTAAGATTGTTCTAGGACATTTTTTTTCATCATCTTTTATTAGAGCAGGTATACCAGATAACATGCAAAGAGACACAGGATGTCACTCCTCAGGATTAAGAAAGCTTCCATGCTAAATAACTGTGCTCTCAGAAAAGGAAGAAACGATAATGGTGTTAGTTTCAGTAAGTTTAAATAAACGTGATGCAGACAATACCTAACTTAGGATGGTCTGACTCATGATTTTTGACTTTATGGTGGTGTGAAAGTGATGTATATTCAGTAGAATCTGTACTTCAAATTTTAAACTTTGATCTGTTCTGGGCGAGCAGTGTGTGGTACTCTCCTAGGATGCCGGGCAGTGGCAGCGAGCCACAGAACCCAGTCAGCCATATGATCAAGAGGGTAAACAGTCCAACTTTACAGTGTAAGTGGTATAAATTTACAACTGGCATATTCCTTCAAAATGTCCATTTTTGACTTGTAATATTTTTAACTTATTGTGGGTTTACCAGAAGATAACACTGCCATAAGTGGGGAAGCACTGCACTTACCTGCATAGCTATCCTCTTCAATGATGCATGTTTCTGGACCTCAGCAATGTCACCAACTGCCAAACCAATCTGAAGTATGACACAAAATTTAATCACCACAGTTTAACGGCCCACTGAAAAATGCATGTAAGGTCTGTCTTAGTCCATTCACACTGCTATAACAAAATAGTTTAGTCTGGGTAAAGTATAAATAGCATAAATTAATTGCTTACAGTTCTGCATGCTGGGAAGTCCAAAATCAAGACTCGGGCAGAACTGGTTTCTGGTGACAGCCCATTCCTCATAGGTGGCACCTTCTATGTGTTCCCATGTGGCAGAAGGACAAAGGAGCTAATAAGCTCCTTCATAGGAACTAATTCCATTCATGAGGGCTCTCCCCTCAGGGCCTAATCACCTCCGAAAGGCCCCACCTTCTAATGCCATCTTCTTGGTGATTAGGTTTCCATATATACATTTTGGGTGGGACATAAAAATTCAAACCATAGCAAGGTCTCTGTGGCTAAAGTGGGAGAGTGGGCATATGATCTACTAGTAGTAGTAGCTGCAGAATACTTTGGTCATACACCTTACAGAAAACTACAAGGCCTATATACCTCTGCAACGGTGATGGCCACATTCGGAGGTTCAGTACTCTTAAGTGCTATAAAAACTTATGACACATAAATTAATCTGAAATTCATTTCATTTAAGATAATCTGTTATTTTTTGAAAGGACAGGGATGATGTGATATCACATGCAATTGGGTGTAGCCACACAACATGGTGGGAAACTCCAGGAGTTTAGTAACTAAGGTAGACAAGAGTGATTTAACAACATGGAAAATAATACTAAACTGAGAGAATGATACATATTATATCTTACATATGTTCAGAAGGGAAACATATACTATAGGGGCAGGAGAGGCTCTGGTGAGAAACCAGAAATGTATGGCTAGATAGAATTAGGAGGGGGGAAGCTGCTAGCTCAGTTCTACTCAATCTGTTGAATTCACTGATTTCACTCACTCATTTATTTTTCTGGTACTTAGTTCCTGCCTTTGCTGAGCCAGCATCTTGCATGCTGCACCAGAAAGAAACATCAGTGACTGCTCTTGAGGAGCTCAAAGTCCAGTAAACTCTATGAGACGAGGGATCTGTCAAGCTCACCACTGTATGCCCAGTGCTTAGTATAGAGCAGGGCATGTAATAGGTAAACAAAACAGTCACAGAATGAATGAAGAGAGGGAGAATATATTCTAGGGCTTGCAAACTAGCACTGAGAACTGGATATAGTCAGGAAATAGGTTTCACTGGGCAGGATAATATTGTTTTGGTTTTTAATTTGCAAGTTTTCAGATGGGTGTTCTCTCCAACTTACATTGGCCCCCATCAAAACCAACCATCTCTGCCAGGCGCAGCATCTCACATCTGCAGTCCCAGAAATTTGGGAGGCTTAGGTGGAAGGATCACTTGAGCCCAGGAGTTCCAGACCAGCCTGGGCAATATGGCGAAACCCCATCTCTACAAAAATTAGCTGGGTGTGGTGTTGAGCACCTGTATTTGCAGCTTCTAGGTAGGCTGAGGTGGAGGATCAGCTGAGACTGGGAAGTGGAGGCTACAGTGAGTCATGATCACTCCACTGTACTCCAGCCTGGGTCACAGAATGAGATCCTGTCTAAAAACAAACAAACAAACAAACAAACAAAAAACTAACCCTAAAACTAACCATTTCATACCTGCTGCTTCACATATTTTAGATACTTGCCTGGGCTCTGAAGACATTTGAGCTTATAAGCCATAGAAGAGATCAATTATTAACTTTTAATGGTCACTAACATTTATCAAATGCATATCATGTCCCAAGTACTGTTTTAAGTTCCTTGTATTAGCTCATTTATTCTTTGCAATAATCTAGGAAGTAGGTTTTATTATTATTATTTGTTTGTATCCTAAAAACTATGGTAACACAAGGAAAGAGCACCCAATAGAGTAAGGTAATTGGAGACGGGTGGGTGGTTAAGGAAGTCTGCTCTGAAGAAATGATACCTCAGCTGAGTTTTGAAATCTTAGAGCTAACCCATGGTGGGATGTTTTCCAGGCAAAAGGAAGAGCCTGTACAGAGTCCAGACAGCATGAAGGAAAGCGTGGCACACTCAGGGAGTGTGCATTTCTGGGTAAATCCTGGGAACAGTGAGGTGTTGGGAAAGATCTTGGTAAGATCCAGCTCACAGGGACCTTTGCCTACTATGCTGATGGGTTTGGACTGGATTAAAGCTTTTGGAAAAATATTTAAAAGAGCCACTGATGGGATTAGCTTTTCATTATCAGGGCATCACTATGGTGGCCATTTGTAGGAAGAATGAGACAAAGCAGTGAGGTATGGTGGAGATGCTCTTGAGGCTGCTGGAGCAATTTGGATGAGGAACCATGACAGTCCAAGCCAACTGGAAGCAGATGTGAAAGCCAAAGAATTATTGAAAGAACTGTGGAAAAATGTGGGAGAGTGAAATAGAGACTATCTGCCAATGATCTGAGTAGGATGAATAGGAGATTCTACTGAGAGGCAGTAGAGATTCTGAAGGAAAAGAAAACATTAGTCTTGGCTCTGTTGGTTTGATTTTCCTCCAGGATATCCAGGTAGAAATGCACAATGGATGCCAGATGTGTGGATCTTCAGAATGGGGCCAACCTGTACTACTGCTAAGCCCAATTCTCTTCTGGATAATTATCTTCCAAAACATAAACAATTATCAGAGAAGAATGTGGGCTTTATGTCATTCTCCATTATTCCTATTGCCATCCTTTGTTTTCCTAGGTCACCAAAATAAAACTCTGGAGTTGTATCAAATAAATGAATCAAAATACTTACTCATCTGCATATTTTTTTTCCTTTCCAGAAACACTGCCTAGTACAGTCTCTGATACATAGTCAGACTCAAAGAAAGTGTGTGGAATATGTACAGGTGTGCATAAATGGATAAAGGAAAAACAGGCACAACAATGCCAATCAAGACTCCCCATGGACCTGGAATGAGATGCACCTTTGCCTGCATCAGCCAACATGCTCATGCCTTGAGCAGATTCTCTAGAGAATTCCATGTGGAAAGGCACTCTCATGTCTGCTGATACTATCTAGGCTTTGACTGGGTTCAAGGTGGCATCTGAACGTTGTAGACGCCCTCTGCATGACAGACTTCCCCACTTGAATCTCTGGTCAATGGTAAATTCGAGCATAGAGACAATATATTCCATAAAGGTCTCTGCCTAACCTCTGATCCCCTTTCCAACTCCAAAACATCACACACCTTCATCTTTATTGCTTTTCCCTGCTTCTTATTTCTTCATAGCATTTATCACTCCCATGACATCATGCAACACATTTATTTGTTTATTACCGAACTTCCTGACTGTTTGTAATCACACTGGGACTGAATATTGGTCTGCTTTCTTCATCACTGGTTCCTAGAACTTGTAACAGTTACTGGCATTTAGTAGATCCTTGATATTTGCCAAGTGCATGCATCTTTGCATGCCCTGAGCCTCTTGATATGCCTGATGCTTCCCAGGCACCAAATGAGTGTTGAATGAATAGATTTTGTAGTAATCATCTCCCCAGTGGAGGGAGATTAAAGAAGTTAAAAAATAATTATCATTATAAAATGTTTCAAATGATCAACAAACAGAAAATACAAGAAAAAACTACTTACAAGTAAATTCATGAGGACAATTGGGACAAATATTGCGAAGCAAATAAGTTGTGCAAAGGACAGAAATGGATGTGCCAATTCATTTCTCAGATATGGTTCTAGGAAGGACTCTCGATAATTGATATCTCCTAACATCATGCTGAAGGTCTGGATTATAGAAAGCAATGGAGAGCTGAAGGGATCCTGAAAACACATGGTGAGGAACAAATGAAATGCAAAGTTCTACCATGAAAAAGTGTTTCCTGGAGGTAGAATGATAAAAATTATATTCAGAATACATTTTTAAAGTCATAGGTATATAGCTACTGAAATACAGTGATAAAATATTAGTAAACAGTGGTAAAGTCATCAAAAATATGTTATCTGCATAAATAATAAATCATCTGCATTATACATAAACTTTTTGACAATGGACAAAGTTACTTAACATAACTATACATTTTTTTCGGCAATAAAAGTCATTTGAAAGAAACAGCAGATAAAAACTAAAGTATTCGAATACTGTTATGCAATTAAGAATTTTCTAGACTATTTAGATTTAAGTATAAATATATATTTCCATAATTCACAGCAACAAAATCAACTACTGATGCAACTGTCTTACCTGTAAATTCAGGAGGATGTAAAAGCTGAGTCCAAAAGCCAGAAGAAGGAAGATAAATACAACTGTAGACCTCAATAAAGTTTTCAAAATTACCTCCAACATAACAATAAAAATTCCACAATTTTCAAATCTACAAAAGTAAAAAAACACACAGACACACACATTTACTCACTTTTGTAGTCAAAGTGTATTCATTCAGTGACAATATCTATCATGTATTAAATCAGGTATTAGATTTCACAGATGAGATCCTTAAGGCCAGTTATTTCGAAAAAGAAAACATAAGAATTAATTGAATAATCATGTCTTAATTTTCAAGCTGTTAGTCACATTACTTTTGCTTTTATTCTCATTATTAATGTTATCTGTTTTTTTTGGATACAGGGTCTTGCTTTGTCAACCAAGCTGGAGTGCAGTGGTGCAATCATTGCTCACTGCAGCCTTGACTTCCCAGCCTCAGGTGATCCTCCTGCCTCAGCTTCCTGAGTAGCTGGGACCACAGGCATACATCACCCCCAGGCTGGTCACGAACTGCTGGGCTCAAGCGGCAGCCTTCCTTGGCTTCCCATAGGGCTAGGATTATAGGCGTGAGTCACTGTGCCCAGCCTTAATGTTACCTTAAATCATTTTACCACTTGACAACTGGACATTACTTCGACTGAAGTAGGAGAGAAAAATAATAGCTTCTCAATATCAAAGAAAATGCTACCAAATGCTTAATAAAGAAATTAGAGAGACAAATTGTGTACTGCATCATGCAGAGATTGAGGTCATGAACCGGAAGGCACCTAATGCAGGGGACACACCACATGATTTGCATTTTATCCTCTTCATCTCCTTCGGTTTTCTTTTCTACCCCCTGCATCCTATATTGTGAAATGCTTGGATAGATAATGGGTGTGTCATCTGGCCTCTAACTTGTACTTTGCCTTTGACAAAGATGACTTTTAAATGAGGAACTTACAAGATTCTGAAGTTGAAAGGGACTTCAGCTAAATTCACAGAGACATATAATGACTCACCAAAGCCACTAATAATGACAGAGCCAAGGGTGCGACAGTGCCTGAACCTGTCTTAAATCCTATTTCTGGGCCACTGCCTTTCTCACCATACCATGTACTCTCCAAGGGGTGGCACTCAACTCTCTATCACTGTGCTCATGACACAGTAATGCAGAAGATATGGTGGAAAAGACACGTTCCCTGGAGTCAGAAAGACTTTGGTTAAATACCTGTATCTTGACTGACTCGCTGAGATCTTCAGCAAATTACTGAACTCAGTGCTTCAGCTTCCTCTTTTAGAGAATGCAAATAATAACACTGACCTCATTATTGGAAAGATGATGTGAAATAACATGAAACTCAACATTACCAACTGTCAAAGGCCTGGGAAATCTAGAATTAGATTCTTTGGACTTATTTTTTCTTGTATACCACTTTGATTCCCCATACTATCTATCAGTTCATTTTGAGTGTTTTAATTCAAAGTAAATGTTTACAAAATAATATCAGGTAAAACAAGAATAGCCAATACTTTTCCCATTTACTCCCCCTATTTAATCTAGATTTGTCTAGACTAGTGTTCTTGACCAGGGCTTATTTGGCACACAGGGAACATCTGGCATTGTCTGCATTCATTTTTGGTTGTCACAACTGGAGGAAGGTGGATGCTACTGGTATCTAGTGGGCAGAAGCAAGGAGCCAGGAATGCTGCTAAGCATTTTACAATATACAAGACAGTCCCCCTCCACAGAAAGAAGAAAAGGAGAAGAAGAAAAGGAGAAGGAGAAGGAGAAGGAGAAGAAGAAGAAGAAGAAGAAGAAGAAGAAGAAGAAGAGGAAGAAGAGGAAGAGGAAGAGGAAGAGGAAGAGGAAAGAAGGAGAAGAAGGAAGAAGAAGAAGAAGGAAGAAGAAGAAGAGGAAGAAGAAGAAGAAGGAAGAAGAAGGAGGAGGAGGAGAAGGAGGAGGAGGAGGAGGAGGAGGTGGTGGAGAAGAAGGAGAAGAAGAAGAAGAAAAGAAGAAGAAGAAAGAATTATCTGGCCACAAAGTTCAATAGTGCCAAGTTTGAGAAACTCTGATCTTCATTCTGAACTCTGGAACCATGCTCCAGCCTTTCCTTAATAGGGTATAAAAAAAATTCTTCATATTTTGAAACAACTAGAAAAGGAATAAGTCAGTTTTAAATTTACACCAGGTACAGTAGTTTTTCTTTTGATATTAAAAATGCTTAAAGGATGTGGAAATCATTCAAGCTTGTTTTACCTTTGAAGATACAGTAAGAAATTCATCCAATAGAGGTAAACAGCAATTGCTCCACATTGCCACTGCAGATGAGCTGGTATTTCAACAAACAAGGGCAGCACAAAAATGATGCCCGTCGTGTAGATAACCCATTCCAAAACATTGTTCATATCCATAAAATAATTCCTTTTCTGGGATAGAAAATAATAAAAAATTACCACATACAGAGACCTAGCATCTCTAGGTGGTTATATACATGCACCCAGTAATAAAATTTTTCTAGCTTTGCAGCCAGCTGGGGAGAAGTTTAGGACCAAGGAGTAACCTCATGCCATCCTGGATTGACCTCAGTGCCCCCAGGGGATGAATCGGTGTTGGAGATGGCCCAGAGTCCTCTGTTAACCTGGTGTTATGGGAGTCTGATGCCTAAGGAAATCTTACAAATTGCTGGGCTTTCCCTGTGGAGTCCACCCCATCTTAAGGAAACTTCTTGGGGACTGCAAGTTGGTTTAGTAATTCCTGGGCCTTTCTACCCATATAACAACATGAATGTGGAGCTCTCTTTATGAACTAAAGTTATTTCTAAAAAGGTTTGGGACATGCACTGAAACTTAATTAGGAAATAAAAACAAATAATAATGGTATTTTCAAACTTTTTATGTATTGGGCATTAGATTTCCAACAGAGTAGATCATTTAAATATCAATAAGAAAATGTGGAGATCAAATCTGACAGAAAATTCATGTAACTTTATAGCTCAATTTAAACTATAATCTGTAATTTTCATTTCTGGAAAATGAAAATAACGGCAAGAAAAATTAAGTAATGTGCCTTAAATTGTTTAAGGTAAAATGCAACACTACAGTCTAACTATCAGAATTGTGACAAATTTCTTAAAGTATCTATATGAAAATATTTGCAATGTACAATGTTTTAAAAATGCAAAGCAATATTATCAAATTTATAAATGCAAATACCTGTGCTTACATGATGCAACAAAGAAAATTTTCACAGAAAGTGAGGTGTTGTATGAAAGACATAAGATTTATAAAAATAATATTCATTAAAATATACAAAAAAATTGTAAAGACTTTCCAACCTCCATGCTGAGAAAAGAACGATCTATGCCATTTATCAACCAAAGGTAGGGCCTGCAGACAATTTATACACTTGGTTCTGATCTGAACTTGGCTCACTCATTTAAAAAGTAGAATATAAAGTAAAAATTTTGCTGTAAAAAGTTCCAAAATTGTATTAAAACCTGGAATTTTATTTAATCAAAAAGCATTTCTGTTAGAAAAGGAATTCAAAGAAAGACTCATTTGAAATGGAGTCTTGGGCCAGATAACTTCTTCATAAACATTTACATTTAAAATTATCAAGTTCAAAATTTAACCATTATGTTAGCAAAATCTTTAAAACTATGTAAGAGAAAAGAAAATTCACTCATAAAGACCATTTGTAGTTAGAGAGATCCTTAAGGACCAGTAAAAGTGGAACATCTCTTTCATAGATATATCAAGTAGGCAGTGACCTTACCTAAAATCATGTGATTTCTACCTTTTGAAACATTTATGCTTGGTGTTTCTAATCTGTATGTTAGTCAAGCTATGTAATTTTATTATGACATAATATAGTAATAGCTTATCAATTAACTTATGTCCTGCATATTAAAATATGTGCAACTTTAGAGATACAAAATGTATTACATACCTGTTGGAAAATTTGACCCGCTTCTTTGCAATACCCAAATATACTTGATAAAAACACTAAAATCATACAAGTTTTTATTAGGTATGAATTCTAAAACAAAAAAGGATAAGACACTTAGTTATGAGAGATATAAAACACTTTAATATTTCCATAATTTTCACTATTTATTTTTTCTTTTTTTTTGCTTAATTTTTATATACTGTCCACTTTGAGTTGAACAGAAAATTTAACTGACACCAATACTCATATCATTTACTAGAGATGAACACATCCTCATTTCAGAATGTCCTTATTAAGTGAAGTTCAAAAACTGATAATTGAATTAAAAAAGAATATGAATCTGTAGGCCAATATAAAATTGTTTATTGTCCCAAAATACATACAACAAAATTTACCATTCTAAAAGTGTTACATTTTACGTGTACATTTTAAAATATGTAATTCAGCAGATTAAGTATATTCACAGTGTAATACCACCATCACTATTATCTAGTTCCATAACTTTTTCATCATCTTGGATGGAAACTACATATCCATAAAGCATCTCTCCCCATTTCCCATGTCCCACAGTCCCTGGCAACTATAAATCTGCTTTCTTGTACACCTATTTTAAAGTTTTACACTTCACTATTTAAGCTGGCATCTAACACATGTCAGTTCCTTTTAAATTAGTTTATAAACTCATTCGTTGACCTGTTTGTTTATATTCCCTCTCCTTCCACAAAGGATTTTAGGAGAAATTAGTACCATATACAAATTCTTACAGGCTATTTATAATGAAGTCCTGATATGTCACATTTATTATGGGTTTAGTAGTCTTAAGAAAAAATACATTTTTTATAATCTTTTATTTTAGAAAGTTAAAATTTGGAATTACCGTGGTATCTAGTATTTCTGAATGATCACTAGTTTCATTGATGATTCCGGTTGAGTTGAAAGCCATTCCTGGTTTTATATTGACAACGAGAATGGTCATAGGTATGAGACCAAGACAGTAAGATCCTAAATTCATCATATGGGCTCTAAATCCATAAGCCAACCTACAAAAATATAAGCAAACCAGAATTGAGTAATTTCAAACGAAAATATTTACTTAAGATACTTCGGGAAAAAGTGGTTATAATCTCTTTAAGAAAACTTGTTGGTAAATTCACTGAAGCTTAGAATCAAGTAAATCTTCTAATTCACCTTTTTCATTTTCAGAGAAGGACTCTCAAGTTCTAAGCAAATTATGACTTAACAAATTAATGAAAGAGCCGGGATGTTAACCCATATAATCTGTCAGCAATATGAGTGCTCTTCCTAGAACACACCTCTTTCTTCATTGTCAACTAAATTTCAGGGTCCAAGATATTTCTACATGTTCTATATAAGGATCCTTTCCATGTCCCAAATATTTCATTTAATGTTAAAGATAAATTTTAGTCTCTAAAGAGCTTCTTTATGTCTTATATAATAATTCCCTCCCACTCCAAATATTTTATTTAATGATAAAGATAAACAATGCCAGCATTTTTTAACCTTAACTTCTTTTTATTTGGTCTTTTTCACTTTATTTTATTATTATCATACTTTAAGTTCTAGGGCGAACTTAGGGCATTTGCCTTACTTATTTCTTCAAAGTAAAATCATTAACATAACAAAAACCAAAACATTAAAATACCATTACAATATAATTGTTTTGAAGACTTTGTAATAGATCCAATAGGCACAGCATTAAACAAGAAATACTATTCAATACCCACCATTTCATGAGTAAATATTCTTTACACACAGGATGATTGAGAAGCTCTATGCGGTTATTTTGTACCATTGCCTGAGAAATAAAAAAAATGTGTAATAAAAACAAAATCATAATCAACTACTGAGTATAAACTAATCTTTTTATTGTCTGGTTTTATAGCTGTGTTTTGACATTGTAAAAGTAACATCTATTTTAGAACATTAAAAAAATAAAAGTTAGATCAAGATTGTAAAAAACACAAATTAGAACCATTTTGTACAGGTAAAATTGTTTGATTCAGTCTGATTCTTTAGTTCTCTGACTACTTGACCTAGCATAAGCTTTTTAATCTTATATAGGATTATAACAGGAAAGGACATTAAAGATAAATTAGCAAGTTATACCCTCATTCTGTCCTTGAAGAAATTCAGGCTTATCTTTCTAGAAGGATTTTATGCAGTAGAATATACATACATAGTTGTTAAATTAATCTAGATCATAAGTTTTCATTAAAGTTATTTGTGACTACAAGTATTTATCGAAAAATTAGTTTTTAACTATTCAAGAAATACATAAATAGAGGGACTGATGCCAACAAGGTAGCAAAATAGGAAGTCCTAGGCCCCCCTTCCTCCATAGAGATATGGAATTAAAAACAATACACAGACCATTTTCTTTGTGAGCAATCCAGAACTTAGTTAAGGTGTTTCTGTACCCAAGGTGAGCACATAGCCAAAAATAACCATATCAAAGACAGTAGGAAAATGCATGGCCTTTACTTGCCACAGATCCTCCCTCTAGCAAAGCACAGTGCCATTGGGAGAAAACTTCCAACTCCTGCCTTCTCCCTGGAAAGAGAAAGAAAAGGGTGGAACATATCCACTGACTTCTGACTTCTAAGGGGCTGACCAAGGGAATGATTTTTATCTTGCCTGAATCTAAGCTCTGACACAAATGGGTGCCAGCAGGGGATCACTGATAACGAAGTGGATCACTGGGTCTTAGTCTAGCACCAGAGAAGATAACAGTGTCAACAGACAGATCCTAGGCAGTGTCCCAGTATCATGACTTGCTACAGCACCAGAGATACAGGGAAAAAGAGACAAAAAGTCTACCACATACTGAAAACAATTAGCAAAATGGCAATAGTAAGTCCTTTCCTGTCAATAATTATTTTAAAGGTAAACTGGTTAAACTCTCCTACTAAAATACAAAGGTTGATTGAATGGATAAAACACAGGATTCAACTATATGCTGTCTGCAAGAGACTCACTTTAGATATAAGAACACAGGCTGTAAGTGAACGGATGGAAAATATATTCCATGCAAATGAGAACCTGAAGTGAAAAGAAACAGCCATATTTACATCAGACAAAATAGACTTTAAGACAAAAACTGTGACAAGAAACAAAGAAGGACAATATATAATGATAACAAGGTTAACTCACCAGGAAGATACAACAATCATAAATATATACAAACCTCACATTAGAGCTCCCCAAAATATGGAACAAACTTAGATAGAACTGAAGGGAGAAATAAACAGCAACACAGTAATAGTAGGAGACTTCACTATCTGACTTTCAGTTATGGATAGAACAACCAGACAGAAGTTCAATAAGGAAACAGAAGACTTGAACTTGAAAGAAGCATTAAAACATTTCAAAAGATTGAAATCATATAAAATAGCTTCCTCACTACAGTGGAATAAAACTAGAAATCAAAAGTAGAAGGAAAATAGGAAAATAAAAAAACATGTGGAAGCTTAACAACTCACTCTTAAACAGCAAATAGGTCAAAGAAAAAATAAAAGAGAAATTTAAAGTATATCTGGAGACAAATGAAATGAAAACATAATATACCAAAATGTATGGAGTATAGCTAAAGCAATACTAAAAGGCAAGTTTATAATGGTAAACACTTATGTTATAAGACAAGAAAGATCTCAAATCCATAATTTAACTTAAAACTCAAGGAAATAAAGAAAATACAAACTAAACCTAAGATTAGCAAAATGAAGAAAATAATAATGATTAGAGCAGAGATAAATGAAAGAGAGAATAGGACAAAATAGAAAAAAAAAATCAATGAAACCAAGAGTTGGTTTTTTGAAAAGATAAGCAAAATTTAAAAATTTTTACTAGACTAATTATGGAAAAAGGAGAGATGATTTATTGGCTATGACACCAACAGAACAGGCAACTAAAGCAAAAACAGACCAACAGGACTATATAAGGTTAAAAATTTCTTCAAGTCAAAGGACGCAATGACCAAAGTAAAAAGGCAACCTATGGAATGGGAGTGAATATTTATAAATCATATATCTTATAAGGAGTTAATATCCAGAATATTTGAGGAACTCCTACAACTCAACAAGACAATAAATAACCCAACTGACAAATGGGTCAAGGCTGTGAATAGGTATTTCTCCAAAGAAGATACATGAATAGTCAATAAGCATTATTGCTTATGACTATTGAATGAGAAGATGCTCGACATCATTCATTATTAGGGAAATGCAGTTTAGAACCACAATGAGATACCACTTCACATCTGTTAGTTGGCCACTATCAAAATAACAAAAAATAACAAGTATTGGTGAGCATGCTGAGAAACTGGAATCCTTTGTGCACTATTGGTCGGAATGTAAAAGGGGATAGCCATTATGGAAAACAGTATTGGGGTTCCTCAAGAAATTAAAAATAGAATCACCACAGGATCCAGCAAGTCTACTTCTAAATGTGTATACGAAGAGTTTAAAGCAGGATCTCAAAGAGATATTTGTATACTCATGTTTGCTGTAGCATTATTCACAATAGCCAAAAAGGAAAAGCAACCCAATATCTTCAACAGACAAACAGATAAGGAAAATATGGTACATACATACAATAGAATATCACTCAGCCTTAAAAAGAAGGAACTCTTGTCACATGCTCTAACATGGATGAACCTTGAGGAGATTATAGTAATTGAAATAAGCCAGTCACAAAAGTACAAATGCTGTAAGATTCCACTTTATATGAAGTACTTAAAGTGGAGAAAAATCTTAGACACAAAAAGTAGAAGGGTGGCTGCCAAGGGCTAGGGGAAAGATGATGGAAGTTGCTGTTTAATAAGTACAGAGTTTCAGTTTTACAACATGAAAGAATTTAGGTATCTCTTGAGTAACAATGTGAAAATACTTAACACTACTGAACTATACATTTAAAAAGAGTTAAGACAGTAAATTTAACTTTATGCTTTTTACCACAAGTAAAAAAGAAAAGAAATACCCAAACAAATTCTCTTAAAATACTGGAACATTGGGATAAGGCCATAGTTCTCACCACACCTAAGCCTCAATTCTGGGCAGGACTCCATTTCCCCAGTAGTATCACCATTGCTAACTTGTACATCCTTCCAAATCCTTTTCTTTATTTCTACACAGAAACACCCATGTTCAAAAACTCAGATGTAGTTATAGAAAAAAAGGATAATTATTTTGTATTTATGTTTTTACTCAAATTATGTCTTCAATTTGCTTATTTATTCAACACAGCCTAGAAACATATCAATGTTATATAAAGATTCATCAAGAACATTGTTTTTAAATACTGCTTAATATTTCATTATTTGGATATAGTAGTTTATTGAGACCTTCCCTTATTTATAAATATTATTATTGTTTGACATTTTATAATTAAAAATAATGCAGCCAGAATTGGTCTTCTTAGCCCTTGGGCAAGTTTTTTATTTTAATTTGATGAGTTATGTATTTCATTTCTAGAAAATTCTCAGACATCCTTTCAATTGTCTCCCTTCTATCTCTTTTTAAAACTGTTCATCTTTCTGAAATAACTTTTAGATAGAAGTTGGAATTTCTATTTTTAGCTTCCTTGTATTAACTTTGATTTGATTGTACTTTCCAAAATTATTCTACCAAACAACTTCTAGGTTTTTGCACTAAACACCCACTTACATTTTGAAAAACCCTATACTATAGTTTTCATCAGCACTGTGTTAGATTTTTTTCAATCTTAGTGTTCATAAAAATCTTTTCAGAAGCTTATTTAAAATTTTGATTATTAGGTCTACCCTCTAGCATTCTGGGTTAGTAGGTCTAAGATGGGCCTTAGGAAACTTCATTTTAACAAGAACCACAATAATTGTGATTCAAGCAGCCAGAGATTCCAGTTTAAAAACTACTACTGTGACACCAACAATGGAATATTTGCAGGTTCACCATTTTTCTTTTCTATTTATTTTTACCCTAACCATTTGAAAAGTAATTGAGATATATGTATATACAATATTCTGGGGGAATAAAAGAACTCCTTGCAAATATTCATTACCAATTGGATGCCCAATGGAGCTCATAAAGCTATACCTCTAGCTATTCTTGGAAAAAAAAAAAACAAAAACCTAGCAGGATCTAACTATTGTTTTTGAGACCTCATCTAAACTTCCACGTAGATTTGACTTTTTATCCATTTAAAATTGATGGTTTATTCAAGCTAAAATAGAAAATATGGAAAAATATTTGTGAGAGTAATTCAAAATGTTACTATTGATATTTTTAAAACACCATACTAGAAACACACACAGATACTTGTTTACAATGTGCGTTCATTAAAACAATCCTCTTATGTTTCTGAAATCTTGTAACTCTGCTTTTAAACTAATAACAAATACAACAAACCTACCCTTTGAGGCATGCAAGTACATTGTAAGTTTAAATATCACCCAAATAAAGTGTAAATAAGACTTAAAGTATCCAATGTATTGGTAGCTATGCTAATGGATTTTCCATAGTAGCTCTACTCTTGCATGCACCATTAATGAAAATAGCCTCTCACTGGCTCCAGTTTGTCTTAATCTCAGTATCTGATTTCTTATGTTCTCTATTTGGTTCATCTAGACTTTCAAATTTTCTGTGCACAGTAATTTCTCATCAGGTCAGTTACCTTCCTGAAGAGCCCCACTCAGATCACATATAACTAAAGCAAGGTTTCCTAAGCTATTTAGGCATTGTAGAATTGGGTGCTGGTTTGATACCTAGTATATTGCATTTATCTAAGTGAACCTATTTTATTTAAATTACACTTTGCCCATTATTATATATTGTCTGTTTCTTTTTAGATGCTATATAGGTCTTATTTATTCCTATTCTTATTCTGATAATGGAGACAAAAATAGACACATTTTTTCTGATAGAAGTATTGCCTATTTTTAAAATTATAATTAAAAAACACATACATATGCAACAAATTTTCTAAGTATAACTGTAGTGTAGTTACTGTTAGATCACTTGGCTATCGATTATGAACTATACTCATAGCAAAACATAACACACTCAAGGAGAGCTAAAATGCTTACAGCAATGGTGAGTCAGTTGCCATCACCAGTGTTAAGGGCATAAAATCCCCACGAGTCTGCATTCTCCACACTGCAAGTGCTCAGTAAGCCTTGTAGGTTTAACTTTGGGTGACAGCTGTTACCATGGTCTGTACCAAAGTCTTCAATGTTGGGAAATGACCTCATTGAAGGTGAATAAAAATTCTTCATTGACCTACAGCAATGTTGTGAAATAGAATTTTCTGCAATGATGAAAATGTCTTCTACCTGTGCAGTGCAGTATGAGAGCCGCAAGCCAAATGCGCTACTGAGCATTTAAAATATGGCTAGTGTGACTGAAAAATAAAATTTTAACTTTATTTACTTTAAACTAGTTTTTAAGTTAGGAAGCCACATGTGACTAGTGGTTCCCATATTAGATAGCCCAAATCTAGACCAAAATTTGCATCTCCAGTCCTCAAATGTTTTACATGCACACAATTTGTTGCCAATATTTACACAATTGTGGGCTGCTGTTGTCACATGGCAATGATTTGTTGAAACTAGTAGCCACTGTCCTTTTAACCAAAAGCCTAAGTTACTTATCTGTTACTGTTTTCTCTGTAGTTATTTCAGTTTGAGACCTTTGATTCAGATTGAAGAGCATCAAATGCATTATTTTCATTGCTTCATTGGCTAGAAACATAAAAGCATCGTTTTAAATAATAGTTACTTTTTAAAAAGTTTCTTGGGAAATTTAAGTCCATGCTGTGTCTTAAAAGCCTACTTCAAACTGGGTTTATTCCTCTGGAATCTAAGATCTAAGAACCTCTGAATGGTCAGAGTTTACCTTGGATCCCAGTGGCTAGCTGAACTTAGAAGCTGTGGCTGTGAAATAATCACCTCTTGCATTTTCCTGTGGTTGACACTGGAGAAAACTCTTGAATATGTAGGTGGATAGAGGTGGCAAGCAAGTGTTACCTGTGTTGCCCATGGTTTATTTGATTCTGGATTGGAGCAGGTCTTACGTGACCATTAGAAATGAACTGTAGAACTTTACAGCAATTGAAAAAATGATTGCTTTCTTTATTAAAAAATAAGGGTTTGAGTCACATGGCAGACATAGCCATAGAACTATAAAACTGGAATTCTCTCGATCCATCAAGTATTAAAACATTTTAGACTATTGTATCACAACATTTTAGAACCCAACTAGAAACTATTTAGATAATGAAAACATTGAACTTACATTGAGGGCTGTAAGAGGTTCATATATAACATCCTGTGTAGGTGTTTTTTTGGTGAATTCTAATGGGCATTGAAGATATTTGAAATTATACTCGATCTGTAGAAGACAGAATTTTTTTTTTTTTAAAGTACAGTTAGTCAAGTATAGAATCCCCAAAGTAATTCTTGAAAAAATCAAATACACAAGTTTACAATTCTGCTGAAAATTAAGTGATTTGAACAAAGTTATTTCAAGTGGAGACAAGAAATTAAGTTATTGCATATTAATTCCAAAAATAAATATCCTGGAATGCTGTTATTCAATTGCTTTATATCTCATAGGCATGGAAAGAGAGGAGTTCTCAAAAGATCATTTAGATATTTTAGATCTTCATTATTAAGGCACAATTAGTTAAGGAAATATGAAGACTAGAAAAAATGATGCTATTAAAAACTATTAAAATGTTAGGGGAAAACAGAATGTAAGGGAAAAATTCTCTCACAAGTAGATAATACAATAATACGACAAATTAGATCAATACCTTCTACAGTAGGTTACAGATCAATAGTAACAATATTTTTAATATTTTTCAAAGAATTATAACAAAATAATAAAATAAACTTACATAGTAGTCTCGGCAGGACTTGTCTTCTGTAGAATGCAACATGCAGAAATCTAAAAGTACCTTTGAAAAAGAAAAACCAGGTAAGATATTGGGGCAGTACACTACATATTAGGAAGGATTTTACCTTATTTCTAAAATAACACACAAGACATTTCCTTTCCTTGGTCTCTTGCATCTCAACAAAAAATTATAATCTATGTCATTCAGGAACAAAGTTTAAAATACAAAATGTTACAAATACTTTTGCATGCCTCAGAAACACCAGTGATTCAGAAAAATACCATGTGCTTGAGAATAAAATTGCATGTACTAAAATCTCGGTAAGAGATAGTCCACTAGTTGTGCCTAAGATTTGATGTCTTTCTGGGCTTTTAGAGGATATATAGATTACAGGTTGAGCAACCCTAATCTGAAAATGTGAAATTCTAAATGCTCTAAAATCCAAAATGTTTTGAGCACCCACATATTTCCATAAGTAGAAAATTCCACACATGAGTACTTAATATAAACTTTGTTTCATGCACAAAATTATTAAAAAACTATATAAAATTACCTTCAGGCTATGCTTTTAAGGAGTGTATGAAACACAAATGAATTTTGTATCTACACTTGGATCCCATCCTTATGATACCTCATTATATATAGGCAAATATTCTGAAATCCAGAACATTTCTGGTCCCAAGAAGTTGGGATAAAGGATAGTCAATCTGATTCCTTTGCTGAGTACCTTACAGTGACAACTTATTGTTCCTAATCAAGATTTTCCATCCCAGCAATGGAGTCTTTCTATGGTTTAGGTCTCATCTTCTGAATTGCCCCAGTCTGGAGTAACGTGTTTGCTTCTGTACCTCATGTGCCAAGCAACACGGAGAGAGTATGTGTTTAGAGGAGGGTGGACAGGGGGATAGATGTTGTAATGAGAAATAGATGAAGGCTCTCTAGATACTTAACTTAGGGAAAGAACACTTATGGGGTCATTAGAGCCACCCCTATGGTGTTCGGGAACAATTGTTTTTGTGGGGCTGCATAAACAATGTGAGACACCCCAAATCTAGTGGTCCAAATTTATGGTCCTGAGAAAGAAATACTACCTAGCCAGGCTGCCCTCTTGGAACCAGGACTAGACACAATACCCCATATGGCCCCATCAATGCATCTAGGACCTCCTGGGGCATCTGGTGAACCTGCAGAACTTGAGGGTAGAGGGTCAGACTATATCCAGAAGGGAAGAAACAGGACCCTGGCTGGTCTCAGGCACCAAAAGGATTAAGAAAATTACAAGGCAGGTTCTGTTGGTGACTGGATAGCAGTACTGGAGGTCACAACCACCATCATGAACAATAAAGACAAGACTAGCCAGTAGTGCTGTGCAAGGCAGAAACAGGCAGGTCTGGTTGTTATAGTTTGAAAACTGGGTAATAATCAATGTGTGCAAAATAAAGGATGGGCTGTCTTGGGTGGGGGCCAGGGAGATTTCAAGAGCAACTTTTCAGAAATGTTGTATAAGTAATTCAAATGCATTATGTCAGGCTTAAGACATTTAAATTCACTTATTTTGCTGAAAAGTAGTCACAATACAAAAGTAATAAAGTCATTATAGAAAATTACCTAGAAAATGTAGTAGCATAAAGAAGAAATTAAAAACTAATCCTAATCCTGTAACAGATAATTCTTATTAACATTTTGGTATAATTTTGACTGATTACTATGTTTTCACATGGGAATATTTCAACATTGTTTTACAATTACAAATAACGTTGCAGAAAACATTCTGTAAAAGTCTGTATCTCTGATTATTCATTAAGACAGATTTTAACAATTGTTAACTACAGAATAAGAAAGTTTGAGATTGAGTATTTATGTGTCCTTTGATGAGATGTAGGCACCTAAAAAGTTAATCTGTCTGCCATTTGTGTACTGGACTGCTCAAATTTTCATTAGGCATCATAAAAAAGAAAACGCCCAAAATATTTAGTGCACAGGAAGTCCCTGCTCAATAAATAAAATACAATAAGTGCTAGTAGTACTAATAACCACATAAGCAGTACAAAAATAGTAGGAGGTATATTATGTACGAACCATTATCCTTAGCACTTTATATATTTTACCCCCACTTTTGTAATCACGTTGTAAGATCAGTATTAGCATCATTATTTTAGAAATAGAGAAAACAGAAAATAAGCTCAGAGAGGTGAAATGACTTGCCTAAAACAACTCAGCGAAAGGCAGCACCAGGATTAAATCCCAAGACCTCCAGAAGGCTCCAAATCTGGTCTTCTATTCCCTGTGTCACTATATCTTACTGCCTCCTCCAACATTTGGATATATTTTTCCTTTGCAAGATATCTGAAGTCATTCTGCCTTTCTTGATCATTCCATGTCTGTCCCAACCCTCAAATCCCAACTTTCCCAGATTGCCTTTTAGCATCCTTTAATACTCATCTGCTCAACAATCTGTGCATGTTTGTCTTGTATGGAGTATCCGATCATATGCTGGTGTATATTTAATGTAGCAAAGGGAGTCACATATTTAAAAACTCACAGAGGCCAGGCAAGCAATGTAAATGAAGGAACCATGCCAGGCATAAGAGTTTTTTTGCATTGTTCTTGAGATGTTGGCTATCCTTGGGCAAGCTTTTATCTTCACAGTTTGGATAAAGTCATAATTCAATACTTCTCTACTATAAGGAAAGCAATTGCATAAGAATGACAATATGTGACAACTAGGCACTGGAGCCCAATATACAAAAGGGAGAGGTGGAGCATTTTATTTTATTTTATTTTTTATTATACTTTAAGTTCTAGGGTATATGTGCACAACATGCAGGTTTGTTACATGTATACATGTGCCATGATGGTTTGCTGCACCCATTAACTCGTCATTTACATTAGATATTTCTCCTAATGCTATCACTCCCCCTCCCCCCATCCCACAACAGGCCCCAGTGTGTGATGTTCCCCACCCTGTGTCCAAGTGTTCTCATTGTTCAGTTCCCACCTATGAGTGAGAACATGCGGTGTTTGGTTTTCTGTCCTTGCGATATTTTGCTCAGAATGATGGTTTCCAGCTTCATCCATGTTTTTAAATAGGAGAGTGATTGTCCCATCCATGGGAAGCTGCTGATGCTCAGCCCAGCAATTCCTGCCTTGTGAGAAGGCAGGCCCAGGTACAAGATCTCATTCTTATGAGAGGCTAGATATTTGGAGGAAAATATAACTGGAGGAAACCAGATACCTTAAGGAAAGCATCCTGGTTTCAAACATTAGCAATTCATGCAAATTTGAAACAACAATAGTATGCATGCCAAGTGAAACATATACAAAGGCTTTATTCAGCCAACAAACACCAGTTTGTAGTCTCTGCTATAGGCGCAGATTATTTAAATAAAAATATTTTACCATATTATTACCTATTACATATAATAATAGGATTCTTTAATCCAAGAAGGCCTTCCTTAAGTAGTTATTGTCTCATTTCCCTTATAGCCTAAGGAAAATGAGAAGCTTTAAAGCTGGAAATTATTATTATTAGGTTGTGATTACAACAATAAATCCTCAGATCATATATGTCAAGCATAAACCCAGGAAGAATTTTGTTTTAGAGAGTTTACCTTCATGCATTCAGGGAGGTATTCTATCATTTCTGTAATTGGACATTTGTTGCCTGGAGAATTATGACTAAAAACCTTAAGACATTCATCCCATCTGTAAAAAATAAATAAGTAAGATAAGCACAGGTCTTCATCCTTCTGTTCTGTACAATAGCTGAAACTCAAGATTATTTCTTTAGGGGAAACCTAAACTTAAGCGTATTCATGAAATACAATGCTCACCCTTGGTTCCAATGGAACCAACATGTAAACCAAGATCAACTCAGTAACAGGATCCTTGTCCATTAATGGACATTAGGAATGTGGGTAAATTTCAGGATGGCTGTTATAATCATTGTTCTGTCTCTGTATCTAAATGCCATTCAAAGAAGCTGGGACTATATCTTCTTTTTCTCCTGAAGTTATGAAATGGTCAGTATTTACAGAGCTGACCACGTTAGGTAGAGATTCCACATTCACATACCTATATCATCAGTGTAGTACTGGTCCCATATTTAATAACTAATGCATGTGTACATCCTGTATTGAGTTAAATTACAAACTAACACGCATAAAGTGCACTGATAAGCATAGCCTCTGCCAGAACATTCCAGATTTTGCCCATTTTCTTCATCACCATCCAACTGAACAGGGTAAGACAGTGCTTACCATACCAAGGAGGAACTAAATCTATGGCAGGAGGCAAAGAATAGCCCATTTATCTCCAAGATCTTATCCAATTCTCCGTTAAACTCTATCAGTAAAACTCATCTAGTACATCTACATTGTCAAAAGAAAAGTTTGGATTGAACACTTGCCTTAAAAGTGCTTTAAAGGGATGATCAGTAAGAGATTTTTTAGACTGCCCATGCTCAAAAACACAGGCTTGATGTGCCTTGAATATGAGAATGTTTGCTCTGTGTCCACTACTAGGTGACACTGGGCCCTTGTGCGTATCTATCTGTGATTATTATAGAAAGTGATACTAAAAAGATATTATGAGAAGTGGAACAAACTATCCTCTAACTTAATCACTAAAACTCCTTGGCGTATGGTTTACAAACCCACCAACTCAAAAGATTACATGTTAAGAGTCATCCCATTATATGGCACTGATAACCAATTGGATTTGCCTTGGGGAATATTTTTGCCAGCATCCAGTTTTAGGATTTCTACTGGCACGTGTTGGGCAAATTCAGGTAGGGCAGTGCAGAGTTTGTTTGACAATGATATGGTTCCAGACACTACACCTGAACCCCTGGAGTCTCACAAGAGTGATGTGAAGCTTGGTTTTATGTGCCCACATTTTATTTTTTAAGAAATATAAACTGAAGATCAGAGAGGTTAAGCAATGTGCCTGTTGTCATCCAAAAAAAATCATTTATAAATTTAGGTAGACATTCAGAAATAACTAAAGGAGTATAATTGGATTGTAACACAAAGGATAAATGCTTGAGGGGATAGATACCATTCTCCATGATGTGATTATCATGCATTGCATGGCTGTATCAAAGCATCTCATGTACCTGATACATATACACACCTACTATTTACCCACACAAACTAAAAATAAAAGGGTCGGGCACGGTGGCTCATGTCTGTAATGCCAGCACTTTGGGAGGCCGAGGTGGGCGACTCACTTGAGCCCAGGAGTTCGAGACCAGCCTGGCTAACATGGGGAAACCATGTCTCAATGAAAAATACAAAAATTAGCTGGGCATGGTGGCTCGTGCCTATAGTCCCAGCTACTTAGGAAGCGTGAGAATTGCTGAAGCCCGGGAGGTGGAGGTTGCAGTGAGCAGAGATCACGCCACTGCACTCCAACCTGTGTGACAGAGCTAGACCTTTTCTAAAAATAAACAAATACAAATTAAAAATAAAAAACTTTTAAAAGATTGATGCAAACAACTGATATTTTAAATTTTAATTAATGGCCGAAACTCATTTCTTTTCTCTTATTTTCTCTCAGACTTCAAATCATCCTGACACCAGAGAACACTACATGACAGTGGACAGGAAGACCGTATACCTTTTGCTCCTGATGATTGTAAGAACCACCTCCTTCCTCTTATTGTGAAGTGCAAGGTGCAAAAAGGAGGCCTGCTGCTTGTTCAGGACTATGTCAGCATTGTGGCTCAGAAGAAGCGCAACGGCTTTGGCGTGGCCTTCCCTTGCAGCAAAGTGAAGTGCAGTGTTCTTTTGAGGAAAAAGAGACACAGAAAATGTGGTGACAATGTCTAATCTGCCTTATTTCACCGCTTAACTGCTTAAAAGATATTAGCAACACTACTATTTAATACCAAAATACACAGAATTTAAAACTGGTGTTCAGAATCAAGCTTCAAAATAATGAGTTCATAGTTCAAACATGGTGTGTGTGTGTGCATGTGTGGGAAGTGGATCTGTGTGTGTGTGTGTGTGTGTGTGTGTGTGTGTGTGTGTGTGAGAGAGAGAGAGAGAGAGAGAGAGAGAGAGAATGAATTCCAAGGTATTTGTTTTGTGTTGCTTTTGCAATGGGATGATTCTCCAAGGACAAAGGATAAGCTTTCAGGGTAAAGATGTTGGGTTGAACACAGAAGAAAATCCTCCTGAGACTGATCATTTGGAGAACAGTGGTTTACAGATTTGGGGCTTCACAAGCTTGTAAATGTTTTTTTTTAAAATCAGCGACTGTTATAAGTTTGCCCATTTTTAGTTTCCCCACATAAAGATTTTTTTTTTTAAAAAAAGGCAACAACAATCTTCTATCCCCATCATTTTATGAACAAACATATGTTTCAAAAGTCACTCTCTCCAACAGAAGGACATAATAGCACAATAAAGGGCAGTATTTCAAATCAATACACTTCAAAACAACACTTATCTTAATGAAAACTCACCCCTGCCTTCATTTCTGTGGACCTACCAGGGAGTAAACGCTTTGCCATCAAATTTCAATGGCCTGTGGACCTCGCTGCTCTGTGAGACTGGGGGTTTCCTCAACATTCACCCACCCCTTGGTATTCTCTCATTTCTGCTGCCTTTTGATTCATACTTCACCTCAAGAATCCACTTGCTAAACATCCAACAAAAGGCTGGGAATAGAGCAAGGAAGGTAAAAGGTGTCTTGGAGAGTTTTCTGGCAATGTTGGAAGTTTCTGCTATGTCAAGATTTTGGATAAGCATGAGGACCACAGTGCATACCCCGTCTTCATCCAGGCGATCTGTGCACTTCAAATTAGTATCAAGAATGACCTTCATGGTCTGAGTGTACCCGCCCATGGATGCATGATGCAAAGCCGTCCAGCCATTGTGGTCACTGGTAAAGAGTTAAGAAAAGATATGTGCATACACTTAGCAGACGAAATGCGGGATGGGATGCCATTTGGCTTATTCTAGGTAAATCTGATGACAACAAAAAGCATAAATGAGATCTGGCAACTAAATATTTATAAAACATTTATAATAAATGAGCTAATTCCAAGCTCAATGATCTTAAATGACCTATTTCTAACGTGATTCACACATGTTTTTTATTTAGTGGTTTAAAATATGAAAGTATATAAACACATTATCAAACACTTTGCAGTAGGAGAAGTACGCTTAGCGTGTCTGTGTCATACATCATTTTTTTAAAGCTATAATGAACTGATACACATCAATTTAAATCTTGTTTTATTCTTTCAATGAACATTGTATCAACAAATTTTTATGAAGTAATGTTAGCCTTTGTGGTCAATAGTTATTGGTAATACTACTAATAATATAGTATATGGCTATAAGATACTTAGCTTAGTGTCAGTTATTATTCTAAGAGTTTAAATCTGAAAAACTTCCCTCTTGTGCTCTGCAAGATGCTTACTCATTTGCTTTGAAAAATGTTTATCCTTTTCCACAGAAATTCAAGATGTAAATACAACGAAGCCTTATCATATTAGTTGTCTTTTTTCAAATTACACAGAAAAAAATTCCTGACACTATTTGATTTCAGTGCTAGTGAGCAGATGTTTTAGAGTGCAAGAGCCATGTTGCTGTATCAGTTATGATGTAATTAAGCAACAACTGTCTGGCCTGGGTCTACTTGGGTCCCTTTGCAGGCCAGTTTCTTGGTGTTTCTTTGTAAACCAGAAGAAACTGAGCAAAACATTCATTCTTGTAGCTGTAGCACCAATTTGCTGTCATCAATAATATGGTAAGGAAATGTGTTTTTGAACATTAGCCTAATAAGCTCTTTGCTACTGCTATGGTAAGATATTAAATGAAAAACCTCTGTAAAATGTTTCCAGGTTTTTTCTTTCTTATCACAATATCATTTAATTATGCCACATATTTTATTATGCTTACATATTTTAACTTTGTTTTCTTGTGCTTGAGCTCATTTAAGTATAATAAAATTCAGAAATATTTACTGTCTTCTGTTGTCACTTAAAGGGAGCTTTTTATATCTACCATTCATCAGATTGAATGAAAAGTAGAATATTTGAACTTGTATGTTTTGTGTGTGTGTACATGCACACACACAGATACACAACCATGGTTTTGTCTCTATATAGGAATATGGCAGCAAGATGAGGTAAAATATGAGAACTGTATTTCAAAGAAAGGTTCTGAGAAAGACTGCACAAAGCCACTTATTCTGTGACCTCGAACAAGGTTCTTCAAGTCTAAAAACTTCAAAGTCTTTCAGTTGGAAATAATACTGACTTCCCTTCCAGTATTTTTAGAAGTTATATATGTTTTGATGATAAAATAAAATGGATAAAAGTACTTAGTGAGATATAAAGTTAGACCTCATAATTAAAAATATAATGAAAAGATAGCCTCAAAATGGCTAATTAAAGAAACTATATAAACATTCCAATCATATATCCTCACCTGAGAAACAATGCACCTTTTTTCAGAAGAAGCTGAACTACTTTATCATGTCCATTCTTTGCTGCCAGATGGAGAGGAGTCATTCCATGAAGGTCCCCTTCATTCAGAAGCCTCGTATCACTTATGTCTTGTAGGAGCCTCTGACAGGTATTGATACGCCCGTAACTTGAAAAAAATTAGGTTTTGTATTTTCAAAGCAAATATTAAACAGAAAGAAGACATGTTCATACATTGCTAGACTGACCCTTACCTGGCTGCAAAATGCAGAGGTGATTTCTTATCTTTGCTTTTGGAATGAATGGACACATTAAAGCCAAGAAGGTTATTTACAGAATCAGGGCCCCCCTGTCTACATGCATAATGTAGAGGAGTACACCCATCATTGTCTTCATCCATTACCAGCTCTTTGATCTGTTGCATCTATAGGAAAAAAATTCATATTATACAAATAACTCTGCTATTATGCTAAAATGATGGTTTTCAAACTATTGTGTAGGAAAATACTTTCCAACAAGGGTCAATATGTACTCCTTAGGGCCAAAATTGTAAATAACCTAAAGGATTTGAGAGTAAAATAAATATGAAGGAAGTTGAATGCTCTGTCTTCATGTAATGTACATTACCATATTAATGTACATTACCATATTAAAGGATCTGAGATACCATGCCAACAGGAAAATGTACTTAACATTTTTAACTCAGCATTTTTCAAATATATTTGATCACGGCCCTTCCCTCTGCCCCTCCTCTTATTTCCTCCCACCCCCAAATAACACCCAACAGCTTCATGTTAATACATTCTGTTAGGTAAAATGGATGGGATGTTAACATTAGGTTTACTTTATGTTTTATGTGCTTAAGCTTAAGCTTCTCATATTTTGTTATTTTTTAAATGTTCAAATACATATATATTTTTTATTATTAAAGACAATGGCAATATTGAAATCTATTGACGACAAAAATGTGTATTTCACATGCATGTGCTAGTCACTAAGTATTAGCTGGTGAATATGAATATAAAAATAATGCTTTCAACCTCTCCTCAGCAAGTCAAGTATGCTGAGTAATTTTTCTTAATAGATGATGGAGTATTGATAATTCATTATTTTACTTGGATTTTTCCACTGATATGCAAATCATAATGGTCAAAGAATGAAGAAAATCAAACTAATTAAAGATGTTATCTTTATGATAGATGATTACATATGAAGTTCCTTTGTAAGGTAAAAAACTCAGTTTCACTACAATTAGCATTGTCATCATCATCACCACCACCACCATCACCATGCTGTAACTAAATATTCAAATATGTCATCTTTATTTATTTATTTTAAAACATTTAAAAAATTCCAGAATCAGTTTCTATGACAACAAAAATTACAATAAACAAAATTAGTTTATTTTCTGTTGAACCCAACTCAGTTAATGGAAATCCATAGATATACATTACCTGCATAAATTCAGGTCGCAGATTTTTTAATCCATAAGGTTGCTGTACAGTTAAATGCAGAAAATTACGTCCAAAATTATCTTTTATGTCTACTTGGGCACCTGAAAAAAACACTATGTAAATATAAACTCTATTCATTTATTTAAAGCATTGTTTATGTGGATTCTCAACTTAGCAAAAAAAAATTTGACTTAAAATAATGTTGACCTTTAGTTTACAGGAAATTGTGTTTAGATGAGAAAACTAAACATATTTAAAATCAGGTTTACCTTACTCTGTGTGTGTGTGTGTGTGTGTGTGTGTGTGTAAGTGGGGTAGAAAATATGTGATGCATTACATAAATACATAAAGCCTTACCTTTTAAAGCATAAAATATAAGTATAGACACATTAGAGATCAAGAAAGAAGAGGACAGCAGAGAAGGACACCTCACTTCTTTCTTTTCAGGGGCCCAAGTTAGAATCTAAAATGGAGAAAGTTATAGTACCTACACCACATAGGACTGACACATTGAAAGACAGTTAATTAAATGTTCAGCAAATGCCTGGGATATAACAATTGCTTTATAAATGTTATCTAGTATTGTTCTGAAATTGTCTTTTTAAGTATGCTCCCTTATTGGACAGAAAATTATTCTAGACATGAAAAGTGTTCTATTTATCTTTGAATTCACAACATCTGGCGCAGGGCCTGGCATACAATACATGGTGGCACACAATGAAGGTTCATTTGGTACACAATGAATGTTCATCTAACCAAACTGAGTAGTACTTCAAAAGACTTGGCTTGGTCCCTCTTGGTACCTTTAGAGAGTAGCAAATTTACAATATTCCAAGATGCAGAAGCAGTTGCTAATATAAGTGGAGAGCGTCCTTCAGAATCGATCTTATTAATATCTGCTCCCTAAAAATCAAACAAATCATTCAACAAAGAGCTTAAAAACAGAAAAACCATCATATATTGTAATCTCTAACTAATGGTAATTCATTAATATAGAGTGTCTATATTATGGCTAGCACTGAACCATATGATTAGTTATAGAATTATTTGAAAGTTTCCCATAGTTCATATGTTGTATCATCAGAAATCAAGGAATTCATTTATAATTTCAACAAAAAATTATTCTCACATATTAGGCTTTTTACTGACACCTGGCAATAGCTCTAGTTACTACTTGAACCATAAAAATAATATCCTTTTACTTAGATCAATAGTTTCCACTGCAAGAAATAATTTTTAAATGTCTATAATTTTAAGTCTTCCAAATTTATTACATGTATGATTTAAGAAACATTTACAAAACACCATCCACTTTTTAAAAAAATCCTATTTTATCTGAAATAGATGAACTGAAATAATTGAATTGAAATCACTCAAATTCTAAAGTAAAATTTTAGCCATTTATTTAAGAAAATTTATATTTAAAAATCACATTAAATATATATTTTTAAATGAGTAAGTCAATGTTAACCATTATATATTATAATATTTGATATGACAAGAAATCAAAGGCGTTTAAAAATTTCATGGAAATAATTCTGCATTTTATATAGGGTAATAAAAAATAGCTTAAAATCCAAACATGAATATTTCTTTGTTCTTTTGGGGCCCACTAATATAGATGATAATGGGGGCAGCATTCCCTTGGCAAGTTCTATGGTCAGTGAGGCTCTGCCACAGTTCTCTTGCCTGGTGAAAAGATGGCAGCCTTTGCAGGAAATCATGCATAACTATCATTTATGGTTTATGGCATATAACACATAGTTTATGGCATATAATGAGTCTCCGCAGGACTCTTCTGTGTAATTATCGTAATTTCAATAGTTATGATTGACAACACACACATGTTCAATACTACAAATGGAAATCTGTCATTGCTGATATGGTGCAGCTTACGTAAATTCACCATACATTCATCCGTATAAAGGGCTTATTAAAATTCAACTCAAAAGCTGACTGATTCCACCTCCCAGAGTGCAAAAGATCCCATGCTTCATGCTTTCACTTGTAATAAATCTTTGACAATATTTTTCAACTCCTCAGTTTTTAAAGGTGGCACTGAGGCACCTGGGGTAGGAGCTTCCCCCTGTGCTGCCTGTCCTGCCTCTACCTTAAAGCCACCAGGCTGAAGAAGGGTCACCGCCCAAGCTCACACTCCCGTAAGACCCTCTTACAGGCCATGGGAACAGCTTTCCTTGCAATGTACCTGCCAACTTCCTGCACTAAAAACACTGATATGGATATCCAAATTACGCTTTGACACTTCTAAGTTCACAGTAATGTTTGGCCGTTACATATTCATACACAATATACTCTGCTTCCAAGTATGTCAATCATCCTTTTGTACATTGTTTTTGCTGATAAGCAAGAAATTAAAATTTGATTCATTTTTGAAAATCCATATTATGTAATTATATGATTTCTTCAATTATAAACAGTAATAAAAATAAACCAGTAAAAGGAATAGTTACCACTGAAATTAAATAGTCTGCTAGTTCATGGTGATCAAATAACGAAGCTCTGAAAAAACAGAATTATAAACATTATAATTAAAGTACTATTGATGTAAATACAAATGTATTTAATAAAGCTACTATATTTGGAAAGTGAATTTAACTAATCGTAAAATAACATGATAGACTGTAAGAGAATTAGTAAGCTTTCAAAATTTATAATTTGATTCTGATTAGGGTAGCATTTTCAAAGTAATAATAGTAGGAGAACACCAAATACATCATAATATTTTCTTCCTCATCCTTTAAGAAACCTATTTTATCCTGAAAAATCACCATAAAGATGTTCTGAAGTGAGTGGTAACATCTGTCCCAAGATAGAAAAGACAAGGAAATCGCTGGTACTGCTATGATCATGGGGAATAGCAAAAGCTACATGTAACGTGTGCCTCAAATTCACTTGCAGGGTTCAAAAGCCCCTCTTTGGGGGGTTTCTCTTTGGCAAAAGTTAAAAGGCAGTGTTAGTTTTTCTGAAATTTTCTAAAGCCAAAAATAATTATGGAGAGAATTGAAAACATTTTGATATCATCTCACAGGCAGTCATAAGCAACACCGTAACAAATGTTAACACTAATGATTCAAAGCTTTGTGTTTCCTATTGCAAATCTCATATCTTTGTTTCAAGGTTCTCTCAGCTATTTTTGGCCTTTCATACATAAATTTCAGAATCAGTTTGTTAATTTGATTGACAAGAGGTTGCATTATATTTAAAATATATTAATTATATTTAGTAATTACAAGGGAACAAATTCTAACATTAAGGCTCCATTTTCCTAAGATAACTTCTCATTATGCGTATTAATATATTAAGGTTGTGTTCTAAAGATACATTTTAACAATAACCAAATCATTGGGTTTGTAAATTGGTGAAACATTGGAAACAAAGTTTTCTTCTTTAATTACTGAGACTCATCTTAAATATTTTGATATATTCTAGGTTATAAATTGGCACCGGGATTTTGTGAGCTACCCACATGATTCTAATGTGCAACAGCTTGAGAATTTCTGGTCTAGAGGTTAGTCTATCTATTGAGTTTTCATTTTATTTCAATGGCTTTTTTAAACTTCTTTTTTACTGAATCGTTTTCATATCACCAATCCTGGATTCAAATATGACATCTGTTTTTCACAATCTTATATTATCTTCATATATTTAGTTTTATGTAAATGATTATTCCTTTAAATTTTTGAAGGTCTCAAATATCTTCATTTAAAAATTCTTTTTGGAATGCCCTATTATTTCTATTTTCTTGGAAAAAAATTGGTCTTTGGTCAAATGTGTAGATTTTTACTAGTTTTATGTTATAAAACTTTAGGTTGAAAATTCATCCTAAGTGGGAGTTTCTTTCTATTCACACATATCCTATTGTGCCTGGTGGTTTTGCTGTGTACACTTACTAGAAACAGATCTTATATTGGTAGCTAGAGTTTCTTTTTTTTTTTTTTCTAAGAGATATTGTAGAATTCCAGGTCCAATTGCCTATTGAAAATATATTGGCAGCTGTGTGTGTGTGTGTGTGCGCGCGTGTGTGTGCACGTGCGCACGCACACGCACGCGTGTGTGTAAGAGACCAAGAGAGCGAAGGCTCATCTCAGATACCTCTTTCACTCACATGGGTAGCATCTGATACTTGTCTTTCCAAAAGAACTGAATTTCCAGTCTACAAGTAAGCCTATGGTTTAATACACTTTGCCTGATGTGTATTTCTGCTAAACTTCAAATAAATTTGTTATTGTTTTTGGAAATTTGGTTATAATTTCCTAAAACTATATCTTTTGAAACCATTTACCTATAATTGTTGGTCAGCAGGAGGGATTAGCGTGGGGGTGACATATCCATATGTATCTACTCCATTTTTATCACTAAAAATGGGGATAATATAAATATGAGAAATTGGAACAGATTAGAAATGACTTGGAAGACTGTGTATGTAGACTTCTTTAGCACACAGAAAATTAATCTTGAGCCTATATCCGCTGGACTTGAATCAGAATATGCCACAGGTGATTTTATTTTGTGAAATTTCTTTAACATTCTACTCTCATTCCCAAGGAATATATGCGATTCCAGTTGATCCACAGGGTCTTTGTTATCTTTGCCTTTTTCCTTTGAATCACAAAATCTTTGCTAGCATTAGTGCTAACTGCTCCTTGCAATGTCTAATTTCACGCATGAAGATGGAAAATCGGTATACAGAATGATAGGCAGGAAACTTGCCTGTGAAGCATGGTCTCATGACTTCCATCGGTTGTGTTAACAATATCCACGCTACCAGAATAGGACGATATCATCAATTTAACAATCTCAGTGGCTCCCTGGGTGGCAGCAAAATGAATGGCTGTGCACCTTCCCTTCTGTAAAGGATTTTAATACTAGAATCAATGTTTAAATCCCAATGTAAGAATATAACTTACATTTGGCGTGAGCTTTTTCTTCACAGATTCATAAAATCAAGGAATATCTATCAGACTGATCACCATTAATCATCTGAAATGTGATAGATATTCCTTGATTTTATGGACCTGCAAAGAAAAGCATCCATAAACAAATGGTAGCTGACAATTGTGCTTCCTTCTAATACAACAACTCTTGGCATATACTTCCACCATCATTGTCTGGGTGCCATTCTTTCCCCCAGGGAACATGAGAACAATGTCCCAATCATTGCTGTAAGCATTCAGTGTATGAAGTGACTTCAGACCCCATACCACCATTGGCAGCTCTTCATTTCTATATTGAAGGGACAATATAGAAAGAGTGAAAGGCAGTGTTAGCTTTTCTGAGTTTTTATGAGGTTTCCAGAAGCCACATGAGATTAATATCCAATCTTCTCTTCCTACATAAAATACAGGCCTTTGGAGTATATTGGAGGGGAGCTTGTTGCCACTCAAAACTCAGACATTGAAGGAGAAAGGGCCAGAACTCTCCACTTTTGGTCAGAGATGCCTGACATAAGCTCAGCTCCCAAATACAGTCAACACTTTCACATACATATTTTTAGAAATTAGTTAAGTGGTCCTTAATTTAAAAATGACAACTCTTCTGAGTAGAACTAAAACCAAATACATTCATGATTGGGCTTTAATGTTCCTGGCTGAACATTATCGTCTTCTGAGGGTAGGCTTTAACTTCTTTTAACGGCAACTGCACTAGATAAATATCCTTTGTTGTATCTATATTTGTGTCTGCAATTGTTTTGGGGAGCACTCAAAATTTTTTACACAGATTGAAACTTGGGGTATTCTCTTGTTCTGCTTCTTCAAAAGCAGAAGGAAATATGTATTTCTTGTATGCATTTCAATCTAAATTAACTGTAAAAGAGCTATAAAGTATTTTACATGCTTATGACAACTCTAAGATAAAAGTGTCGTATAGAATATGAAGAGTTACCTCCACTGGGTCTATTTGTGCGCCATTGTCCAGGCACATTTTGATCATTTCCAAGTCACCATTTTGCACAGCCAAGTGGAGAGGGCTGGCTTTCCCATTATTCACAAAGTTAATGTGCAACTGTCTACTGTACCCATGCTCTTCACCTTTAGAAGAAAATAACATTCAACATAACAAGTATATAAAATAAATAATAGGGAGGGTCTTTATTTTAAAAAATGAACAAAGCATAAAACAAAGAAAGGGCACTGAGACACATAAAAGCTTGTGTTTAATTCCGTTAAATATTTTTCAAATTAGGCTGGGTGCAGTGGCTCACGCCTGTAATCCCAGCACTTTGGGAGGCCATGGTGGGAGGATCACGAGGTCAGGAGATTGGGATCAGCCTGGATAACATGGTGAAACCCCATCCCTACTAAAAATACAAAAAATTAGCTGGGCATGGTGGCATGTAACTATAGTCCCGCTACTCAGGGGGCTGAGGCAGGAGAATCACTTGAACTTGGAAGGATGAAGTTGCAGTGAGCCGAGATCACACCACTGCACTCCAGCCTGGGCGACAAAGTAAGACTCTATCTCAAAAGACAAAAAAATCAAATTAATAGCATCCACCAAAATAGACTTATTTATAGTATATAACATAGAAAAAGCCTCAACTCACCAAACCTTAGTATTATTTCCATGCATTCTTTGGAACCTGAAAATGCAGCTTGGTGAATAGGGAAACATCCCCATTTATTTGATTTACATGGCTTAGCTCCTTTGTTAAGCTGGAAGAAAAGACAGAATGAAAAATGACACCAGTTAAACCCCAAATCACAACGGTCTATTTGTGTACTATTTAAGACGAGAATTTACGTGCCTCTCTCATATCATTTTACTACTATATGTCTATGTAAAAGTACACAGAGAGCTTCATATGTTATGAAATCTAGGCAAGAAGGTAATTTTGAAGTAGACTAAGATTCTGAAATAGAGATATTTTATATCTTCCAAAGAAGTAACAATGTAGACACAATATCAATCTTGATACCCCAGCAATAAAGTCAACACATTTTTCAATGAGATTAAAGAGATTTTTGAAGACATTATCATGACTTCCATGACCATTTTCAGTTTCTTATGCAAATAAAGTGATTTTCCTAGATTCTTTTCCCTTTATTTATGCAAAATTAATAAATGAATGTGCCACTACTCTTGTTAAGCCATAATCAAATATTTTCACTAATGACATTTCTTAAGTAAAAAGATGTTAGAAGAACTGAATGTTATATTACCTTTTTATGTGAGCTAATCATTTTAAACTACCATTTTTTGTAAATCATTAGCCTTCAGTTTTAAATACCTCTAATTACTACAAAAAATGATTTTGAAAAAGTATAAAAGTGTGAAGACGCCAATACCACCTGTAATCTCAGCTTTTAGAGGTAGTATCAGTTTACTTTATACAACATAGTCCAGAAATTTTATATATATATAAATATATATATATTTAAATATATAAAATATCATAATATATAATATAATATAAAATTTATATATAAATAAAATAATATATAATATTAAATATTCTATATGGAGAGAGTCCAGAAATTGAAGATGCACTTTGTAAAATCTATATAAAGAATATTATTAAGTAAAAGCTTTTTTGAACAATATTATCACACAGTATACACATAAATTAGACTTGCAAGGAAGCCAGACTTTAAAAATATATTGTTTTCTGTAGTATTTTCAACAATACTATTTATTTATTCCAATTTTGTTTTGGTTAATTTAAGGCTCTTTTCCTCAATTCTTGGTTTGAGTGTTACTTATTTTTATTTTCTTTATCATTTATTCTCTTTGTGGTCCAATCATGACAGCTTAGAGTATGTACCTGTCTCTAAGTCCATCTAGTAAAGGTGCTAAAACATATTTGTACGGCACATTTAAACATTAGGTAAATAGTTTTAAATTATTTAATTGTATTTTCTTATTCTCCGAGATTGTGAAGAGGTAAAATCAAGTGGTGAAAATACAGATGCTGGCCTGGATAACATGCAACTAACTGAGGAATATTTGAAAACAGTCTATTTGCCGGCATTCTAACAGCACACTCAGATGGAGCACTGCCAGAAGCAGGAGGAAGTCATGTAGACAAGCATCTCCATCGCTTCACTGGACCATGCCAGGAAGCCTCACCAGAGAGAAGGCTGGCTCTACTCTCAAGCCTGTGGCTAAGAACCTTTGCCATTACATCACACAGGGCTCTGTTTTGAGACCCAGTGACAGGGTCTTCAGGTCATGGGAGCTGTGTTTCCTTTGATTTTTCTCTTATGGGCCAAATAAGTCTGCAACTGACTATATTCATCTTTCCTTTGACTATTCAGAAGCTCATAATCATACATTTGTTCCATCTATATAACATTCAGGCCATTATACTTTGTATTTTGCATTCTAGCCTGACCACCAGCTTCATCTCAGCTTTTCCTGCCTATATTTTCTTTTCACTTTGATTTTCTCATAATTTTCTTTACTGCTTTACTATTAGTCTTCTATAAGCAATATCAGATCCTCTTAAGGGGGGAGTACATACACAAAAACACATAGAACAACTTTTTTCTGACCTAGTTTTTGTATTTTATATTTTTCTAAGGAGAAAAGAGCTTTTATAAATAATAATAATCCATGTTGTATTCATGAAAAGATAAAGAAAGCAGAAAGATATGACAAATATACAAACCAAAATCTGCAGTGCTTCACTATTATTTGTGGTGCATGCAATGATCACAGCTGTGTTTCCATTTTCTCCTTCCAAATTAATATCAATAGTTCTGTGTTCAAGCAAGACCTGCAAAAAGGGGGGAATAATTGTCAAAATTCTTGCAAATTTCCAAATAAGGTACTTGCCTTCCACTAGAGTTTCAGTTTTCAAATGCCAGTGACCATGTCTGTTTATCTTTTATTCATCCTTCTCTCACACAATCTGGCATAAAATCTTGCACATTGTGGGTACTAATTAATTTCCCCATTAGATGAAATGATCATGATTTCAATGTCACAACAATCAAGGCAATACTGAGTTCTGGAATTGTAAATAAAATAAAAATTATAGATACTAGTTATCATAGCTTCACTTAATACTTCCAACTTGTATTAAGTGAAATTATGTTAACTAATATTTTCAGGAAAATAAATGTGTGGAGCCATCAGAATGTGTTTATGGTGGAGGGGAAGAGAGGTAGGGAAGAAGGAAGAGAGTAAAACAGAGAGAAAGAAGGAGGGAGGGAGAAAGGCAGGAAGAGATTTTTTTTTTCTCTTCCAGTTATTTTTCTTTTACCTGGATTGCAAGAATTTTAGGAAATGTCAGTGGAAACTCTATTCTTTTTAGTAAAGAAAACAGAGTTTTGTGTGGCATAACCCAATTAATTCAAACTTGTCCTGGAATGGAAACTTTCTCTACAATGTAAGAAATTAGCATCCTGATAAAATGGTCAAGTAATTTTTCTGATGAAATTTCATTGAAGACCTGTTACCTCCTCACCTGACTGACTGCGCATCTGATTACTGCCCAAGTATCTATAGATCTTTGACTAGTCTTTCTTTTACATTCAATGTAACAAAATTATCCCATATAAACGTCTTATCACATCTTGAATTGGCCTACTAGAGGCTTTTCGTCTTGCAGAAAGACTATGATAAACAATGGCATGTCCTTATAATTAAATAATGTTAAAAGAATTTATTAAATAAGCTGTTTCTTAAAAACCTTCACTTCTTTGAAAAAAGTATGCAACCTCCTACCAGAGCCTCTTGTTAACAGAATATATCCCTTGTGAGTGTCAGCAAATAAATTGGATTTATTAATTAGCTCTGCTCATAAAAGAAAATTAAACTCAGATTTTAGTACATAATATGTGGAGAAATGATTGACAGAGTAAGGGAAATGAGAACATAAGATTCCTTCCATGGACTTTAGGCACCATCGCATTCTGTTCTTAAGCAGCTCTAGATTCATATAGAAAATAGCCCACCAAAGTCTACAAGAAGAGGGTTTTCTCTCTTTGCCCTCTTAGAATCACAGATCATAAATGTATAGCTGTGTTAAATTATATGTGGCAGGGATCCCAGAGAGAGCAACTAAACTGTGCAGCTACTTCAAATTCAGTCATGACCAGGCAGGTCTGGAAGGTTCGGAGGTGAGCTCTCCACAGGTCCCTTTGTTGAGAATCTGGAAAGCCTCATGGAAGGGTCAAACAACTGGATACTTTGAAGTAAAGCCCCAAGGACTAAGGCCTGCAGGCCACTGAGAAACAAAACCACCCCCTAATCCCCAGGCCAGTGTGTCCCAGGGAATATTATGCATACCATAAATAATTGTGCAAGAACTTGAAGTGATGCGTGGATGACAGTTTTTTACTTTACAACTATTATAGGCAGCAGAGGAAGGTTTAAGGGAAGGTCAGTGGAGCAGTCCACAGAGCAGCTTCTAAACTGGCAGGGGCTGGGTGGGTACAGGCTGGACCATGGGCATAACTGGGAGAGGCAGGTAGAGAGGATTGCTGTTTGCAAGCATGAGGGGAGACATTCCAAAACACCTTCTCCTCCTTCTATTCCTGTCATTTCTGGTGAGCCAGAGGAGTCTGAAAATATTTTTACACATAGTTGTGGTTGGTAAGACCAAGTAAAGGAGAGTCGGTTTTACTTAGAACTCTATTTTTCTGCTTGCTCTTGTGTCACCAGGAAAATTTGTTTTATGTCCATAACAAAGTTTACGAATCAGTTAGGAGCTTTATTTTCTATTTCTATGTGATACCTACCTTTCTGTATTTGTTGGTCTGGAGATTTCTGCTTTCTAATTAACAACAGTCCTTCAAAAGTTACCTGCCTTCAATTCCCAAACCACACTTTCAGGGCCAATATTAATTAAGTTAATAGGCATGTGTTCTTGAAAAGAGCCTTCAGAGGGAGCAAGAGCTCCATGAGGAACTATTTGATATCTCTGTGGGAGTTCCCGCAGTCACTAGTGACCCAACCCAGATGATATAGAAACAGCACTTGACTCATGAATAATGAATAAAAAATAACAGCTTGTTGCCAGAGAACTTTCTAGTAACCTCTTCAGGGAGCCACCCTGACCCATCTCATAGGTACTGAGACTTCTGATCTCCCCTTCTCAGTTAGTCAGAACTCCCATTTACTCGTTTGTTCATGCATTCATTCATTCATTCATTCGTTCATTCAACAGCCATCATTTACCAGCACAGTACTGAGGAATAAGAGACACTTGAATTAGTAAGACACAGCTCCTCCCTCAAGGATAATTAGCCAGTTGGGAAGAAAAGCACATGAACATTTGATTCCAACACCACATGTTAAGAATTTTAATAGAGCCACATACAAGGTACAGTAGAAAAGCAGAAAGTGGCTCTCTCCCACCTTTTACGCCAGACTTAAAGGAGCCAAAGTTTCAGAGGGCTGAGAGAAAGTTTCCTGGGCTAAATGGAGCCTGAAACTCATGGAACTCTTTGGATATTGTTTCTACCAGAAAACTTATTATAAGTTCCAAATAGCCTACCTTAGAAATGAATTTCTGGAACATGCTCCATTTGTAAATTGCATTCTTCATCCTTTAAGCATGTTTGTGTTCTAGGGTGTTTGAGAGACTCTGAGATGTAGTTTACAAACCCTGGCCTAATTCTTACCCTTTAGCATTTTTCCAGGCTTTCCTCTATTTGACTGAACTTACTCTTACACCTTGAAAACCAATAAGATGTTTCCCAGTGGTATCCTTATGTCTTCTGCTAACTAATCTGTCTGACAGGCCATCCATTCTAATAAAAATAGTGAATCATAATTATATTTTCTGTTTTCACTGAGTCTCTCATTACCTTCCTCCTTTTAATCATTAAAACAGCCAGGTAAAAGTAATGAAGCCTAAACCTGAAAATATAAAGATGAAAACAAACTTCCTTGGTCTTGCAGTTTTACTTGTGGTGTGACGTTAGGCAAGTTATTCAAATTCTTTTGGCACCTCAGTGTACTCAGCTATGAAATAAGAATTCTAGTAGAATTACTTCATAGTGGGTTTGCTTAGATAAGAATTTAATAAACAAACACACATAAAGCTCTTACAAAAATGCCTGGTGAATAAGAACTATTCAATAAAGTCAGAACTAATCATCATCATTAGTTACTGAGAAGAAAAGCAAACGTAATAATTACATTTTGTTTGCCATGGAAGCTTAGAAGGTGCTCATCCTGGTGCAGGCAGAGAGAGCTGGATCGGGGTCCCAGCACCTGTGCTGCCAGTCAGGCCCGTTGGAGCCGGCCAGTAGCCTTACCTTCATCACCTCGTTGTGCGTGCCCTGCACAGCTAAGTGGAGGGGCGCCATCATGTTGAAGTTTCGGAGGTTTGGGTTTGCTCCTCTGCTGAGAAGAAACTTAACACTTTCAATTTGGTTTTTTTCTACAGCACAATGCAGAGGGGTATTTCCATAATCATCCATTTCATTCAGCACTAGAAAAAGAAACCAAAATGTGGATTAAATTTTGTTTAGACTGTATTCAACACCTCCTGAGTGCCTATCCACTCCAAACGCAGTGCCAAGTGCAACTGACATCAGCTGCATCTTTTAATGGAAACTAAAAACACAGCTTCAGTTCTAATGAAACATTTAATGGGCACCTAGTGGGAATATATAGTAGCACGAGACTGACTTTCTCAATTGAGTGAAATTTCTATGGGTAGCATTAATAAGAAATAGATCCTCCTATTGCTACATGTTTTTATCTATATGAGTTTTGGGATTGTAATAAGATATTGGGATTATATAAAAGCAAGAACCATGTCCTAGGCACTCTGCTAAGTTCACATGACCATTACTTCATTCAAGCCTCCAATAGCCTGCAAAGTAACACCATGACTAATGTTCGGAAGGAGGAAGATGTTGAGATTTAGAGAGGTTAAAAGTCTTGCCAACATCACAGAGCTAGTAAGGAGGTATGACAGTTACCACACTTCTCTGAACCTCAGCTTTCTTGTATTCAAACTTGGTAAAAAAAAAAAAAAAATTGAAAAAGCATATATTCATATACCTACACACACACACAGGAGGAGAGAGAGAGACAGAGAGAAAGAGAATGAGAGAGAGAGAGAGAGACAGAGACAGAGACAGAGAGACTCTGTGATGTTGCAATGTTACTGGGACAATAATATTAAATCATGTCTTTAAAGATCACAGCAGAGTGCCTGGCCTGTAGCAATGGTTCAGAAAATGTTAATGGGAAATACAACACACCACTAATAAAGCACAAGACTAGAATTTGAGCTTCAGACCCTGATGCCACAAGTGGTTTCCATGTATTTCTACGATAGGATATATGGCACTATGTACCCCGTGAGCTCTGCATATAAGTAATATGTCCTTTCATCCTGCAAAGTCCTATGGCCATTCTAAAATAGACATGGCTGACTGCTTTATCAACCTTATAAATTGGTGGCAGTATATCTTTATGTCCAGAAAAGGAGAAAAAGTATTTGCACAAAAATATGATTTGGGGACTATCTATGATACATGGTACTTGGAACCATACAGCCATGTTTTCTGTTTCTCTCCTTTTTAAAATGTGTCTCTCCGCCATTTCCTTTCATTCATCTAAGTGTTTCATTCTAAATAACACACACACACACACACACACACACACACACACGTCTCTTGACCGTTCTGTCTGATCAAGAAGAATCACTCCATTCATCATTCCATTTGGCACCAAACTTAAACAGGGATCTATACTTACAAACTCCCATTCACTAATTAAATAACTTGAATTTGGCTTTTATCCTCACCACTTTTCAGAAATCATTTTTATTTTTATAGAGGTCACTGGGGCCTTCTAATGTAGGGGCTTTATCTTGATCTCCTTCATACTTGATCTCTTTGTGGCAAGGGCTCCTTCTAACTCTTCTATTCCAGTAACTTCGCCCACGACATGTATATTTTCACTATCTTCATCTTTTTCTGGCTTTTGCTCTGCCATCTGTCTCTTGATGTTAGTACTCTACTCTTAGCTACCTTTGCTAGCAGTTTTGTGATCCCCTAAAGGATTTTCACACATTTCCACTGTCTCAGCGACTTCCTATGCAATCATGCTCCTGTAGGGCAGCCCCTTTCCTTCTGCATTTCTGTTGTGTGCTGGATATTTCCAAGTGGATGTCCCCTGGACCTTTCAAACTCACTGTGACCAAATCTCACACCTTCGCACTCACTTTCTTTCTGTTTTCTCATCTTCCTCCTTTTGGGGGATGATTATATTATTAGCCTAATCTCCTAAATTTAAGAATTTCAAAGTCAGTTCTAACTCCCTGCCTCTTTCTCTTCCTATTTACTCTGCTGTCGAGCACTATTGACTTTACACTCCAATATCTCTTGAACCTCTCCCTGTCTCCTTTTTGTAGCCTCACAACCCTGGTGAACTCTTATTCTCTCTTTACTATCAAAATAGCTCTTTAGTTTGGCTTCCACTTCTAATCTGTCTTCCACAATATTGACAGAATTATCTTATATAGCAAAGGTCTTTTCACACCACTTCACTGCCTTCATCTCTGTGGCATCCACCTCCTTCATTGTCTGCAGTTGAATTTCTTAAACAAGGTAGAGTGTACAAGGCTGGCACCTGGAAAACATCACTGTAGGAGTATGGTACACCTTCTTGAGGTGTCAATTTTATTTAATGATGATAATTTAAATGTAAAATAACCTCAATGGAAATAGTATAAAAGAGTATATAAAATGTACACGCATTCTTACAATCTATCTAAAAACTCAAATAAAGTCTGTGCTTGTTGTGGGGTGTCCTAGATCTCTGCAATATGCTTAGCTATATTTCAGTAGAAGAAGTTGAGGAGTCCTGGTGTGTAGGAAAACTCACAATTCTAAGTGAAATATATAGGCTCTTTATAACTGGCACTAATTGCCCTTAAAAATCACTTCATTCCATTCTTTCTAGTGAATTGAATGGGATGAATGATTTCCGGAAGATGCATTGTAATATTTTGTTACCTTCCAAAGAGGAATCTCTGGTGATCTTCTCCATTAGCTCAATTTGGCCTTCTGCTGCGGCATAATGCAAGAAGAAGGTGTCCATATCATCACATCTTTTTAATTTCTTTTGTTTATTACAGTTTTGTAATCCATATGCACTTCCTTCAAAAACCACCTAGAGATATTTAAACACCGTTACACCAAACAAGCATATGCAAAATTTATAGCTATAACCATTTTATAGCCTGAAAGAACTTATTATTATCCAAAACTATCTATCATGCTTATAATGAGGTAAATATTTTTCTTGAAATATACAAAATGTTTACATACACAAAGAAGGTTTGAGAAAATGCCCCAAGATTGATCAATATATGAAATAAATTTTTTAATCCTGAACTCATTCATATATGCTTAGAAATAAAGGCCTTTCTTCCTCGTTTTGAAGGAAATGCAGAAATCTTCCCCAAACAAATGATTCCGATACTTGCTTTAATTCTACCTTTGACCATAACTAGTCACATATGCCACATAATATATGTCCAAACTCCAGTTTTTTATTTTAAGGATAACTAGAGCATTTCTCACTACTGAAAAGAAAAGCTATCAATGAAAATGAAGTATTAAGGTATTTAATGTATCTTTAATATAATTAAGAAAAGATTTAGAATATTAGGATTTATTTAGCAAATGTTAGTTTGGAATAATAAAACTTAATTTCTTAAATGTTTGAACTTTAGTTTTTGCTTCTGTTATTACAGAATAGTACCTAACAAATCACTTTTCTATGGTAGTCTCTTAAATTGAGATGTGTTACTTTTTAACTAAAAAAATTCAATTCCATATAAGCTACATATAACTTTAGTGACTACAGGATATGACAATAAGCATCCAACCACTTCCAAATTTACACATATTCAGTAATAAATTTAAAATGGGCTTCTTGCAGAAATAGGGAATTTTTCCATGTCTTATCCTATCAAAGAAAGTGTTGACCTAAATCTATTTGGAAGCATTTTGGTACTTGAATTTGATATGCTCTTTGCATAATAAAGGGATTATGCTGCCCACTCCCTAGTGCCAGAAAGAGCAGTTTAGGATGTCTGTTCAGCAATGTGCTGTCAACGCAAACCCAATTCCACACTCCTTAGAGGGAGTACTAGGTTCAGATGCTCACGAGGTACTACTGAATTCACAATGACAAAACAGCATCTAAATACTTTACATGAGCATATCAGATGTACTAGATCTTCTCAATCACTACCTGACATATTGTCAGGCTTTGAAAAGATTTCTTAAAGTTCTGCAAGTAAGCCAAGGATGTCATTTAGACAAAATATATATTCATTTAATGTAGTTTCACGTTGTCACAGGGTCACTTCAGATTCCTTTGGAATCTGAACTGTATGATTAGATTCAGAACATAATAGACTAGATCACTTTTAGATAACCTAATTCTAACTAAACGCTTTAAAACAGAGATATCAAATACATCTTTTTTAGGTTGCTTTAATGAAATACATATAAGTAGCAATGTGGCCAAAAAGTTGGAAACTAAGGTGACAGATAACAATTGGAAGGTCAAATGCTAAAGTATTCACTATCTTGAAAGAAAATAATTGGAAAAGGCTAAAAGCATCAGTCCAGTGGTTCTTTGTCCACATTTCTCATCTTGTAAGTTTTCTGTGATCCTTCAGTTTTGTTAGTGTTCCTGAGATACTGTGTATGTGCTGAAGAAAATATGTTATACAGCTTTTCTTCTAAATTTGGAAACCACCAAAAACCCTCTAGAGTTCAAAAAGCCCTTTACAGTATTATATATGTTTCTTTGTAATGAGTACAACTACTGAGATTTTTACAAAATGATATGGAACTACTACAGCTAATGAAATAAAATATATAATCTCTCCATCTACAAACTAATGTAGCTTCTAAAAGGCTTTAAAAACATAAGTTGGTCTATGTAGGCGATAAATCTAAATAAAGACAATTAGAAACATGAAGACAAATAATTTTGAGACTCGCTGCTAAGAAATTCTTCAGCAAATATCTCTAGAAAATAAAACCACATGGGTGATTTTAGAAATTTAAAATTTCTTCCTGTACCATATTAATTGTAAAGATACTATTCCAGTGGTTGAAATCTATTCATGACTCAGTTCTCTGGAGTAAGCCAAAAGGCCACAGTTATCATGCTAACATTAAGAAGTACAAAAAATGTCTGTGGCCAAACTGGACATGTCAACAGACTCACCTTGGGAGGCCTGGCTACTTGGTGTGTGTGATTAACTATACATGCCTGACTTACACACACAATTGGTAATAGTGCAAATTCCTACAACCTGTTTAGACAGCAATTTGTCGATTTCTACCAAAATTAAAGCTGTAGTACCTCTTGACCCTGCTAGAAACATACAGACATATCCATAAAAGTACCAAGGGACAGACAGAGAAGTCACAGCTACACTCACAGACATACTCTGTCACATGTGGAATAGCAAAACAAAGCTATTTTGTTACATACAAAACAGCCTAAGTGTCCATTAGTGCAAGACTGGTTAAATAAATCATGATCTATTCATACAGTGGAATATTAAGAAGCTGGTAAAAACATGAGGTAAATCTACAAGTGCCGATTTGAAATGTATTCTAAAATACATTTTGTGAGTAAATCAGAGTGGAAATCTGTGAGTTCATAACTTTGCAAATAAAACAAGATCTATTAGCATGTGTGTTTTTGTGTAAGCATTTTTTTTTTAACCTGGAATACACATAAGAAACTGTTAACATGGTCTAACTGTCGAAAGAGATTTGTGATGAGGGTTTGGAGAGACCTTTTTAATGATGTCTCAACCTTTTAAAAGAGCCCCTTTCTCCTGCTGACAATCTGATGAAATCCAGTGGTGGACTCTGAGCACCCAACGGCCTTTATCCCTTAGACTATGCCATCAGGTAGTAGCTAGTGCTGCCTTCAGGTCCGAGAACTGCATAGGTAATATAAGTGCCCATCCTAGAGCCCCAGGCCACCCACCCCTCTTCAAAAGGTCACCTCCTCCACAGCGTTTCCTGAAGCTCCTACCCCCGGAGAAGGAATTTGCCACTCCTGCCTCTGTTTTATTGGGGACATGTTCTGCAACGCTTTATGTGCAGATAATAGGTTTCTCTGTTTCACTCTGTTAGAGCAGAAGGCTTGTCAACCCCCAAAACTCTTAAATAGTTATCCAGCGACTACTAGATACAGTCATTCGGCTGTTTGGTTCTAAATAAAATCTACGGAAAGGTCCAAGTGAAACGGCACACATTCCAAATTGTCCTGATTTTAGGCAGCTGCCCAATCTTGTGCCAGATGATACAGGTACTTTTTGAGTAGGTTTCCCCGGACTACAGTAGCCAGTCCAGGAGCAAGAATTCGGTTGGACAAACAAGCAAAAAAAAAAAAAAAAAAATTGATAAAGCAGGCGCTGTGTAGGCGCGTCATTAGTGGGGTCTCCTCTTGGACTGCGAACACATCCCAAAGCTTGCAACCCCCTGGCCACCCTACGCTTTCTCCAAACCAAGTGCCCTCAAGGAAACCTCCAGCCCACCCCCGCCCGGACGTCGGAACCCCTCCCGACCCGCGAGCGCCCAGGGTACCTTAAGCGTTTCCTTGCAATCGTCGGTGTCGTCCTGCACATCCTCATAGACAACACCCTGGGACTCCTTCTTTTCTCCAGGGCGCCACATCTTCCTCAGGCTGCGCTTCATTGACCCCACCCCGGACGCCACCTGGTGCAGCTGCTCACCACGGGCACGGCCGCCTGAGGCGAGAGTGCGCTGTTAGCCAGCCAGGCGCTGGGTTCTGCGCGAGCTCGAGCTCGAGCTCTCCAGCGCTGCAGCAAACAGGCAGCGAAAAAGTCCCTCCGCCGGAGCGCTGGAGAACTTCTGGAAGGAGTTCTGAGTACCGCGCTACTTTTGTAGTGCAGGAAACAGGCGGTGCGCGGAGGGGAGGTAGAAACCCAGACCTCCTTCGCAAAGAGGGCGGCGGCGCCGCGTCTGCCTTGGACTCGCCCCTGCAGGGACAAAGTGACTCGCCCCTGCAGGGACAAAGTGACTCGCCCGTCCCGCTGTCCTGCAGCTGCAGCAGCGCGCTCCCAGAGTAAGCGTGTCAGGTCGGGGTGGATGCAGGGAATTTGTTACAATAAACACACTAAGAGCCCGCTTGCCCTGCCCCCCTACCGTGTTTGTGAGTGGGTATGTGGAGTGGGGGGGCGGTAGGGAGAGAGGAAGAGAGAATGACTGTGTACATTGGAAAGATTTTTAGTTTTCAGGAGTTTTTTCTAACTAAAATCGTATGGACCTGTCTTTGCCACCACGTGCACCTTCTTCTGAGGGCCTCTTTGATTTGGAAATAAAGTTTTTAACAAAACTTCTCGTTCCAAACATTTGGGAAAATAGCTAAATCCTAGCACTGGTTTGAGGGACTAGATTAAGTCCCTGTGAATATCGGGTCTCTTTTCCTGTGGATAATAATATTGATCCCCCTCACGCTTTGGTGTTTAAAGGTGGTTAATAAAAAGGTCAGGTTAAACGTAAGCCACTGCTGACTAGTGCAAGTTTGTTTGTCCCCAGCTTTGTATGAGAGACTTATATTTATAGGACTGCTCTTCATTAAGTGTGAATTGTGTAGAATAAAAGGTGTTCCCTCTCAATCGAAGAGGCTGGTTCTACTTTTATGAACAGAGAAGGGAGCCTCTGAAACTGTTGGCGGTAAGTTCAAGTTAACAAGGCTAGAAAGCAAGAAACCTTCTTTCTAAGGCTGATTATACCTTGCACAGGACAGAACGTAGCTTTGACAGTCTTTTTCTTTGACAGACTGTGCTTCCTGAAGGCCCTGGATTGTCGTATTCATCTGCTCATATCCAGCACTTAGCACAAGATCCCCGTGGATCCAGGACCTGGCATAGAGGTGCACTCAGTAACGGTTTGTGAACTGTCTGACCTAGGGGCTATGGTGGGCTGAGTTTAGGGCCAGGCAGAGTGGACATGATGACGTTGAGGAACCATGAAAGGTTCCCCCCAAAACTTCCAATGAGTATGGCAGGTTGCCATCAATTCCACCCCTGGAGTGGAATTCCTTGGAAGGATTATATTGAACTTAACCACATCATGAGTCCATGAGTATGACTTGCTGGAGGATACAGGTGTTTGACTTCACCTTTGCACTCTTTTCCCACCAGCATCTGTTCAGGGTGTGTAAGACAAGAATCAGTTGCACAGCTTGCTATGATTTAGTTGAAGGAGGTAATGCATTTGGAGAAACCAATAAAGAAAAGAATCCAAGGGTTGGGTACAAAGAATAACTCATTGAGCCATTGCTGTTTACCTGACATTTTCCATGTACCGGGTTAATGTTTTAAAATGGAAATGCCTCATAGGAATATTAAGATTTTATTTTTTATCATTGACTATTTTGATCAATAGCTTTTCTCACAACACTTAGCTGGAAAGGGTCACTAAGGCAAAAAGGGAATAAAGAAGATGTTCAAAGTGGTCATTTTGGAAGCTGGGGCAGTGAGCATGTCATGGTAGCAAGCATCAGATACCCTGTTGGCCCCGAGAGACAGGGGGCGAGGGGGCTTGCGGGAGCGGGGGGCAGCGTGGCCCGGTTCAGGGAACTCCAGCAATGGACGGTTGAGGGGAATTCTGGGAGAAGATTGGCTCCAGGCCAACAGCACCCCTCCTTTGTAATATCCCCTGGGGTCAGCTGCCAGCACAGAATGATGCTTTCTGCATTCTTGCTTCTCTACCCTATTGACATTCCCCAAAGCAGGTATTCTTTGTAATTTGTCTTCTCTGTCTTTAACACTGAAAAATACAGATGATTAATATTATAAATATGAGTATTTTCCTGCTTTCTGCTTATAAAAGCAAAGAGATTAAAAGATAGTTTAATTTTTAAAAAATATTACGAGGGTCTTGTTCATTTAAGGCATTTTTCAGGCAGTGTCTTCCTAAGACCTCTCAGGAATTCCCATGACTATTTCTTCTTAATTGTTAAATTATTTCCCACCCATCAAAAATATATTTTTCATAGGCAGGCAGGGCAGCTTCCTCTAATTGCAAGATTAGTTGCAAATCTTGGTCTTAAAATGCAAAATGTAGACAGGAACAAGATGGTAGCTAGCTATTTACAATCAGGATCTTATTTCATTTGAAGTTTATTGATGAATAACAATAATGTGCAAGCTTTTTATATCAATTATACTTTTAAAATGACAATTATTAGAGAAAAGAAACCTTGCTAGAAATTTTCTGAAGGGTAATTTTTATTATCAAATTACAATTTGACATCACACAGGACCTAATTTGAGAAAATAAAAAGTAATAATAATAAATAATTTTATTTAAATTATCAGGGAAAATATAGTTATATGCATATATTGTTCAATAACATTTTATGAAAAAAATCTAAATTACCAAAATTCTCGTTAATTATTTTGTTCCTTAAATTTAAAAATGTTTTGCTTATAAATTAATTACAAATATATTTATTTTTAAAGTCACTAATCCAGATATATTATTAATGAAAAGGGGCCCAATATACATACTAAGGAAAATAGCATCTTTTATGAAAAAAAAAACGTAAAATGCACCCATGGAAAGTGCACAGTGTGATGATTTGTGTAGTAAATGTATACAGTTATACAACTATCTACATAATCCGGTTTTAGAATATCTCCATCAATTCAAAAAGTTTCCTTAGACCCAGATGTAGTAATTCCCTCCCCTATCCAGACCCCTAAGCAACCTTCAATCTGTCTTTGGAGCATAGTTTCTATAGTTTTTAGCCTTTTCTAGAAATTTCAGATACATGGAGTCACACACTATGTAATCTTTAGCATCTGGCTTCTTTTGCTTAGTATAATGCACTTGAGATTAACCCACATTGTACTATGTATCAGTAGTTTCTTCCTTTTTATTGCTCAATAGTATTCCATTGTATGGATATACCATATTTTCTTTACCCATTTACCAGTTGGTAGACATTTGAATTATTTCCAGTTTGGGTCTATTATAAATAATGCTGCTATGAACATTTTCATACAAATCTGTGGACATACATTTTTATTTCTCTTGTTTAAATAGATATCTAGTAGTGGACTTGCTGAGTAATGTGACAAGTATGTGTTTAGCTTTGTATGAAACTGCCAAATTGCCTTCCAAAGTGGATGTACCATTTTATATGGCCTCCAGCAGTGTATGAGGATTCTACTTACTCCATAGCCTCACGAACGTTAGTATTGTCAATCTTTTTTATTATGGTCATTCTAGTGGTATATACCATTGAGTCTTTAATTTAGCATTTCCCTAATGGCTAATGATATTGTCCATATTATCATGTCTTATTAGTCGTTCATATATTTTCTTGATGAAATGTTTGTTAAATTCTTTTGCCTCTTTTGAAATTGGGTTGTCTTCTTAATATTAAGTTGTAAGAGTTCTTTATTCTAAATATAACTCTTTAATCAGATAATTTGCAAAGTTTTTTTCAGAATCTGTTATTTCTCTTTATTTTCTTAATAGTGCCTTTTGAAAACAAAACTTAATTTTAATAAAAGTGTAATTTGTTAATTTCCTGTATTGTGTTTTGGGTGCCTTATATAGAAACTTTTGCCAGTGTAAAATTAAAAAGCTTCTCTTCAGTATTTTCTTCTACAAGTGTTAGCTCTTAACTAGATCAATTTTGAGTTAATTTTTGTTCAGGGTGTGGGATAGAGGTCTAAGTTCATTTTTTTTGCATATGGATATATAACTGTTACTAGTTGTTAAAAAACTATACATCCCTCATAGAATTGCCTTCGAACCATTGTCAAAAATCAATTGACTACAAATGTAAGAGTTTGTTTCTAGACCCCTGTCTTCTTCCATTGATTAATATCTCTATATTTAAGCCAATACCACATGGTCTTGACTTATATATTCAGGTTAATAATCTCTTGTCAGATGGGTAGTATGATGGTTAGTGTTAGGTGTCAGCTTGACTAGATGGAAGGATGCCTCAATGACTGATGAAGCATTGTTTCTGGGTATGCCTGTTGCATTTAGTCTATAGATAGATTTGGTAAGAAGGGCCATTTTAAAAATATTGAGTCTTCTGATCCATAAACATGGTGTATTTTCAATTTACATAGATCTGTCTTGATTCTCTCAGCAGTGCTTTGTAGTTCTCCATGTACAGTTCATGCATATTTTTGGTTAAATGTATTCCTAAGGATTTTATTAGTTTTAAACTGTTTTAAATGAAATGATTTTTAAAATTTTACCATCAGATGATTTGTTGTTTACAGAAATACAATTGAATTTTCATAATGATCTGTTTTCTACAGTATTACTAACTTTGCTTATTAATTCTACTAGATTTGTAAGGGACTTTTTAGAATCTTAAACATACAAGACAATGCTAATAAAGACAGTTTGCTTCTTCCTTTTGCAAATGTATGCCTTTAATTTTTTTTCCACCTCAATCACTGATTAGAAGCTCTGGGACATTGTTGAATATAAGAGGAGAGGGTGGATATCCTTACCTTTTTCCCAATCTTAGGGGGAAAACAATATCTTTCAACATTAAATATTACATTAAAGTAGGATTTTCATTGATACCTACTATCAGGTTGAGGAAAATATTTTTATTCTTTGTTTTTATCAAGAGTAGGTGTTGAATTTTGTCTGATGCTGTCTCTACAACTATTGAGATGATCACATGTTTTTCTCACTTATTTTATATTAATAGATATTCTAATATTAAACCAACCTTTTC